CATGTGATGTTTGTACTTGTGTGTCTGATTTAAGTCACCTAACATTATTGTCTCAAGGTGCAACCATTTTCCTACAAATGATTCAAATTTATCCTTCCTTGTGGCAGTGTAGTACTCCATTAGGTATAAATACATTTTCTTTATCCATTCACCTGTTCATGCACATATAAACCATGTCACTGATTTAGCTATTAGTTGTGCTGCTATAAACATGGTGTACATGTTATCACTGTAATATGCATGTAATATAAGATCTTTAAACTCTCTCAGGAAGATGCCTAGAATAATAGCTGGGTTGAAAGGAATTTCTTTTAGTTTTTTTGAAGAATCTCTATACTGATGCCCATAGTGGTTATACTAGTTTATATTCACACCAAGCTTATAGAAAGGTTCCTTTTGTCCTGCAGCCTTTGTTATTATTTGACTTCTTGGTGATGCTCATTCTTTCTGGAGTAAGATGGAACCTCAGTGTTGTTTTAATTTGCCTTTCTCAAATGGCCAGACATGCTGAACATTTTTATATATTTATTGGTCATTTATATTCCTTCTTCTGAGACTTGTCTATTCATTTCAGTTGCTCATTTTTAGAACTGGATCTTTTATTTGGGGGAGGATCTAATTTTATTGAGCTCTTTATATATTCTAGATATTAGTACCCTGAGAGTAGCTGGCAAAAATTTTTCTCACATCTTTCACTCTGTTGGTGTTTCCTTTGCTATGCAGAAATATTTTAATTTGATATGATCCCATTTGTTGGTTTTTGGTATTATTTCTTGTGTAACTGTTCTGCCCAGGAAGTCCTTGCCTATGCCTATGTCTTCAAGTTTTTTACTTATTTTATCTTCCAGCAGATTGTTTCTCTTTTAACATTTAGATCTTTGATCCATTTTGGTTTTAGTTTAGTACATGGTGAGAGATATGGGTCTAGATACAATCTTCTGTAGGTAGATGACCAGTTTTCCCAGCACTATTTGTTAAAGAGCCTATCTTTCATCAAGTATATGTTTTTGGCCCTTTTATCAAAGATCAAATAGCTGAATGTGCCAGGAGTTGTTTCTGCATCCTCTAGCTCTGTTCCACTGATCCATATGTCTGGTTTTTTTGTTGTTATTTTTTGTTTTTTGTTTTTGCCAATACCATGCTGTTTAAATCACTGTAGCTTTGTACTAGTAAAACTTGAAGTCTTGGATTGTGATACCTCCTACTTTGCTTGTTACTCAAGATTACTTTTGCTATTTTGAGTCTTTTCTGGTTCCACATGTGTTTTAAGATTGCTTTCCATAGTTCTGTGAGAATTGCGATTGGTATTTTGATTGGGATTGCATTAAATTTGTGTTATCAATTTTGGAAGAATGGCCATTTTGAAAATATTGGTTTGGCCTATCCAGGAAGAGGGGACATTTCCCCATTTTCTGATATTCTCTTCAATCTCCTTTTTAAGAATTTTCATTGTAGAAGTCTTCACTTGGTTAGGTTAACTCCTTAGTATTTTTATTGGTGCTATTGTGAATGGTATTTTTTTCTTAATTTTTCTCAGTAAATTCATTATAGAGAAAAGGAACACTATTAATTTTTGTATGTTGATTTTGGTACCAGGGATTGAACTCTGGACCTTCCACTTGTGAGGCAGGCACCGGAACAGAGCTAAATCCCCAGCCCTGCATGTTGATTTTGTATCCTACTACACTAGTGAATCTGGTTATTAATGCTGGGAGTTTTTTGGTAGAATTTTTTGTGTCTTCTATGTAGAGTGATAGGGAAAAAGTTTTAGACAGCTTAGTAGATTAAATATTAAAGTAACTGTAAAAGCAAAATAGGTAATGCACCCCTTTAAGACTTGATTCCCTCCCCCCCCCGCCCCCCCCCTTGCTCTTGTTGTTTAAAGTGATGGTTATATGACTCTTCGATCTGTTGCTTTACTATAGGTAACATCTTAACTCTGAAAAACAAAGCTCCAATGCTTGGGCAAATTTGTAATATATGTGTTTTAACTGTCATGTGTTTATGGCTGTAACCATTAACAGAAAGCATCTGTGTTTAACCACTAAACAGGAACTGGAATTTTACTTACTCAACAAAGACCACTAGGGATGAGATAATGACCAAAAAGGGTATAAAGGGAAAGTAGAACAAACATCGGGCATACACTGACCAGACCAGTTTCTGGTGGTCCTGCCTGCTTGCAAGTAAACTTTTATTATTTTACCCAAATTCTGTGTCTCTGTGTATTTCTTTCTGCAATTTCCAGAACAAGAGGATTGCGTCATCTGCAAATAGTAATTTGACTTTTTCTTTTCCTATACTTATCCTTTTTATTTCTTTCTCTTGCCTGATTGCTCTGGCTATCGTTTTGAGAACTATATTGAACAGGAGTGGTGACAGTGGACATCCTTGTCTTATTCCTGATTTTAGAGGGAAAACTTTTTAGCTTTTCCCAATTTAATATGTTTAATATGTTAAGTATTGGTTTGTCATAAATGGCTTTCATCATATTGATAAGGTCCTTCTATACCTATTCAGTGTTTTGATTTTTAAATCATGAATGAATGTTGGACTGTCAAAGGCTTTTCTACATCAATTAATATGATCATGTGATTTTTGTCCTTGCTTGTATTTATGTGATGTACTATATTTATTGATTTGCATATTTTGAACCACCTCTGCATCTTTGGGATGAATACTACTTGATCATGATGTATAATCTTCTTGATAATTTGTTGCATTTTGTTTGCCAGTATCTTTTTGAGGATTTCTGCATCTATGTTCATTAAAGAGGTTGGCCTGAGAGTTGGGCGTGGTGGCACATGCCTGTAATCTCAGCACTTGGAAGGCTGAGGCAGGAGGATTGCCGTGAGTTTGAGGACATCCTGGGCTATATAGTGAGAACCTGTCTCAAAACACACAAAGAAAAACTTGCACACAGGCAGCCCAATACGCAGAGAATGTATGCACAGCCTGATACCATGGAGACACAAGAAAAAAAAAACCCAAACCAAAACCAAAAACATTGTGGGGACTGCAAAGGGATTGGCCTGTAGTTTTAGTTTTTGGTTGGATTCTTTTCTGGTTTTAGAATTTGGGTAATGCTAGTTTCCAGAAATGACTTTGGGAGTACTCCTTCCAATTTCATTAAAAAATTTGAGGAGTAATGATGTGAGATCTTCTCCAAAGTTCTTGTAGAATTCAGTAGTGAACCCATTGGGACTTGAGGTTTTCTTAGTTGGTAGTCTTTTTTTTTTTTTCTTTCTCTGCTTCAATTTCATTGCCTGTTATTGGATTAGTCTGGATTTTTAAAAATACTTCTGGGTTCAGTTTTGGTAATTCATACATATCTAGGAATTTATGCATTTCTTTTGAATTCTCCAATTTTTAAAGTACAGGTTCTCAAAGTAGTTACTAATAATCTGGATTTCAGTGGTGTCCATTGTGACTTTACCTTTTTCATTTCTAATTGCACTGAACTGCTTTTATTAGGGGTAAAATTGGCTAAGGGTTTGCCCATTTTCTTTATTCTTTCAAAGAAACAACTCTGAGTCACTGATCCTTTTAATCTTTTTTTTGGTCTGAATTTCACTAATTTCTGCTATGATCTTTATAATTTCCTTCCTTGTACTAGCTTGGATTTGAATTGTTCTTGTTTTTCTAGGATCTTGAGGCACATTTTTAGGTTATTTATTTGGGCTCATTCTGTTTTCCTAATGTGAGCATTCATGGTTATAAATTTCCCTAAAAATATATTCCAGTCTCTTAAGCAATTACATATTATTTAAAGAGTAGACATATGAGTGAATATGAGTGAATTTGGACCCCATCTCACTTTCATATTTTAAAAAATTGACTCAGTTGGATCATAGACCTAAATATAAGAACTAAAACTATAAAATACTTAGAATCATCATGACCAATGTTTTCTTAGATATGTCATCAAAAGTGCTAGCAATAAAAGTATGTATAAACTGGTTTCCACCAAAACTGAAACCTTCTGTGCTCCAAAGCACATCAATAAAAAGGTGAAAAGACACCCCACCTCCCATGAGTATGGACTGGATTTAGTGACTTCCTTTAGCCAAGAGAATGCAGGAGAAGAAATAAGATGTTACTTCCAGTGTTTGCCTACAGAAGGACTGTAGCTTCCACTGGGGTGCTCTTACTCTTTCAATTGCTTGTTGGGACGCCAGCTCCTAGGTTTGCAAAGTGCTATACGGAGAGGCCTACAAAGCAAAGAAAGTTTCTGGCCACCAGCCAGGGTTGACCTGCTAACAGCTCCCAGTTGAGCCTTGATAGAATTGTGGCCTTGGTTGACACCTCAAATGCAGCCAGAGGCACCCAGCTAAGCTCAGCCCAAATGCCTGACCCACAGAAATTATGAGATAATGTTTATTGTTTTAATTCTCTTAGGATAAATGAGATGGGGCCATTTCTTAACTGGCTGTGTATTTCCTAATGACCAGTGAGGTAAAGGAAACATGGGGATCTTCTGTGGCAGGGTTGCCACAGTAAGTAACAGGTACTGGGAGAAAAAGTGTTTTTTTTTTTTTCCAGTAGAAAAACATTTAATATGAGATTAAAGAAACAAGATAAGCAAGAAAGAGCATTCATTTTCTTTGGGCTACCAGAGTCAGCTCCGCACTGTTTGAGCAGCAGGACAATCTTTTTGCTGGCAGAACTTCTCAGCAGGAAAATGGTAAGACCTGCCTTAGCATCCATCTCCTGAGGACCCAGGAAGCCATGGGCCACTCTTCCCAGATGCACAAAGGAGACCCACAGAGCACCCAAGGAACTCAAAGCCTGTTAGTGACCATATTTCAGTTCAGACCAAGGGCATGGTTGTCTGGGTTGGCAAAGCTAAGAATCTAGAACAGTCAGGCCCTGAGGTAATCACCACTCCCTCGGCCTCAGGGTGCACATGGCACCATACTACCTACCTCCCTCTCCCCTGCTGCCACATCTGTACAAGGTGACCAATCAGAAAAGGGGCAGGGAGCACTTTGATTACTCACTGCCATGAGAGGAGCCTGGTGATCCCCCGGCCTTGCCGTACTCCTGCTCTGAGTAGCTGGTAGACAAGTTGGACTGACTGGAGCCACAGCCAAAGGTGATTTGGTTGCTGCCCATGCCAGTGGCCACCTGGGCCATGCGCTCTTTGGTTTTGAGAGCCTGGGCCCGCTCAGCCTTCAGTCGCCCCCCATCCTTGAGAAGGGCCACCAGTTGCTTTGACTTCTCATGCACATTGATTCTCTGGTCCTTGCCATCACAGTCAATGTACTGGAAATCCTTCAGAGTCTGCATGGCGAAGATGTTCTCACGGCACTGCTGGGCCACACGCTCGGAGCCTGCCGTAATGAGGTAGTCCAGCACGGTTGGTGCTTTGTACACATGCCACCAGTTCTTGCCGTGATCACGGAGCAGCTTCCACACCATGCTCATGATCTCTGAGAAAGCCACCACACTCTAGGCCAGGTCAGTAATCTCGGTCATCAGAGTTGGACGGACCCCATGGGTCACTGGGGGTGGCTTCCCAGACTTTAATTTCAGCCTCTGACTAATCATTCACAATGTTTTTCATCTGCCATCTGATAGACGAAGTTGTCGTTTTTATTTTCTTTGCTACAAATGTAAAGCCCTTTAAAGAAAGAACGTCCTGTCCTCAGTAAGTCCCCACCCTGTGAAGGTCCAGTTTCTGCAATTAAGCTGGGATAAGAGCCCTGAAGTTGTTTACTCCTCTGGAGCCTCAGATCCAAGAAGCCAGCCAGCCATGACCTCCACTCTGCCGCTCCAACATGGGTGCGAGGCTGTGGCCACCGGCAGCACCGAAGTGACTGGGGATACCCGAGCCCCTGGAGCAGCCGCTGCCGCTGCGTCTGGCTCCACTTGACACCCACTGAAAAAGTGTTTTTTAAACATGAAATTAAACCATGTCTTTCTTTCTATGTTGGGGCCTTGGCAGCTGAAGCTGATAATGATGTTGGCTCGCTGGAATTGGTCTAGACTGAGATTTTCAAAACTGTGTGGACTACTCAGGTTGACTAGGCTTTCCTATGTACTACCTAGTCATTCCCCTGGTATCTGTTCCAGTCCCTAGTACCATCTCCCGGTTTCATCTCCATGTGGTGACCATGACCTCTGAACCCTGGCCTCTCATTCTCCAGCAATAACTATGTACAGAAGAAGGGTGCCAACATCCCAAAAGCCAGCCTTCAGCTTGCTTGCAGTAAATTCATTCTAGATTCTTGCAAATATTATACTAGCCTTGAGGGCTGGGGTTGAACTCAGTGGTAGAACGAGCTTAGCATGTGCAAATCCTGGGTTCCATGCTCAACACACACACTCCCCATTATACTTATCCCGCCTATTATACTTAACTCTGGCCTCATTTTCAAAATTTCCCATTGTAATGTAAAATGAGCTTGGTGGAAAGACGGTGTGAAACAAACTCATCTTCACCTTTTACCCAAACCCAGGTTCCTGGAAGACTCTGAGGAGCTATTTTATTTATTTATTTTTTGCAGTACCAGGGATTGAACTCAGGACCTTGTGCTTCCAAGGTAGACGCGGCACCACTGAGCTAAATCCCCAGCCCCTGAGGAGCTATTCTGCTTCCAAGGAAGGTGTTGTGATTTATATCTAATATCCCTCCAAAGCCTCATGACCACAGAGGTAGGGCTTTGGGGAGGTGACTGGATCATGGGTACTATACTCACTGATGGTTAGTCCACTCATGAGTTTACAGCTAAATTTATTGTTAAGGGGTGGGGTCTGGTTGGAAGTGGTGGGTAACTACAGAAGCATGACCTGTGATCTCCTTCCTTGGTCAATGCCCTCTTAGCCCTGTCAGGCTGATGCCTCCTGCCAGGCTAGCCACTCATATTGGATATTCTCTTCACTCTGCTAGGACTCTGAAGCACTGCTTTGGCCCACTGTCTTACCTCTCATTGCAGATACCTATCTTGCTGTCTGCTCCTAGACACCTTGTTCTAATTGTTCAGGCAGGGAAGAAAAAAAATCAGGAGTGGAAAGGGAACATATCTCCTTTGAAGAATATTTTTCCTAATTTGCTACTGGCTTAGAAATCAGATTCACTAATTCATTCATTTATTCTTTCATGATACAGAGTTTTTTATGGGTATGAGGGCTTTCCTGGTGAGCTGAGTATATGAGCTTGAGGACCTGTACTTGGAGAACTGTTTTTTAAACATCCAGAGGCCTCTTTTGCTTCACTCCTGGAGCATATAGCATGCTTCAGATCATGAACTCTGGGTTCATATTGTTTAAGTTTGAACCTCAGCTCTACCTCCAGGAAGTTATTGTCTGTGTTTCAGGTTTCTGTCTGTCAAATAGAGATAATACAGTACTTACTCGACAGGATGCTGTAAAGATTACATAAATGAATTAGTTTTTAAACACTTAAATAAGTCGATTATGGTGGTGCATGCCTGTAATCCCAACACTTCGGAGGCTGAGGCAGGAAGACTGCCATGAGTTTGAGGCCAGCCTAGGCTACATGTTGAGTTAAAGGCCAGCCTGCACTACAAAGTGATATCCTGCCTCAAAAAAAGGAAAAAAACATGTGTGAACATCCTTCCTCAATGGCAAATGCAAGGTGCATGTTCAGTCCCCAACAACTAGGCACAAATAAATTTTCATTTTTTCCCTCTATTGATGTGGGAAAGACCCGGGGGGAACTTAGGAGGGAAGGCACTGAGGAAGGGGAAAGGACAGATGACAAATATGGGGACTTTACCCCTGCCTGGAAAGGCTACAAATCATCCCTGAACTCGAGGTCTCTGGGTCCTTTTCGTTCACCCTTGGCACGACCACCCTATCCTCAACAGTAAAGATGTGATTAGAGATCTTTCAATGGGGTTACACACCTCAGGGCTTACATAACAGTCCCAGGTTCAAATTCTCTGGTCCCTCTGCCAGAACACAAGTTCCTCTTGCTCCCTTCTGGAGGTGAAGAATGCTCACTTTTCAACTTCCTGCCACCACCTTGCTCAGAGGGGCTTGGTCCCCAGACCCTGACTTACACAAGTACTACAGGACCAGCAGCATTTCCCAGGCGGCTGGCTACCCTGGCCATATCAAGAAGGAGTGCTCAGGCGGCACAACTTCGCAATCCAGGGACAATGGGGTGAGGGCGGTGTCCTGCGAATCCCGATGTCCCGTTCTCCTGCAGATCTGCTCTGTCCAGATTCTCTCTAGCCACTTCCGGCGCCGTGAATTGCACTGCTGGTTGGGTGCGCCCCATTTTCTAGATGCCAGCCACTCCGCTCACAAGCACAACCAGACCAAAGGACACTCAGGACCTAGAGGTCCAGCTCCGGAAACGGAAAGGTCCACATGCCCAGGACACTCTAGGAAGCGGCAGTGAACATCCTCGGTAGGTTTAACTCTCTCATTCACCTGGCCGGGCAAGAGGTCCCCAATCCGCAGCCGCTGTCAGGAACTTGACAATGTCCGCCTACCGCGGGGTTTAGGGGTCCGCCAGCTCGTACTTCGGGACCTCGACTGATCCAGGGGTCGCCAAGTTAGTCTGAAGGAAAAAAAGATGGTCGTTGCCAAGGACATGCCGGAGGCGGAGTAGCCAGGTCACCTAGAGCGGCACGGTACGAAAACCCCATGATAGGAGGTCTGGGTTCTCTGAGGCACCAAGCCAACTCCTAGGCAGGGGAAGTTACCCATTCATTTTAAACAGGTTCGACTTAGCGCAGACTACATATCCCAGCACGCACCGCACGCGCCTCTCGGGCTCACACGTCGCTTAGATGACTACCAATCCCTAAGTGCCCGACACTGCCAGAACCACGGTTCCGGAATCGAGAACGGCAACTTCCGACTCCGTGATAACTGCGGCTGCGCCAGTTAAGGGCCGTCGGAAAGGAGCAGCTTGGCCACGCCTCTCTCTTACTGTTCCGCTCTCAGATAAGCCGCGAGAGGCGGGGCGGAACCTTAGGCCCGAGCCAAGATGGCGGCTACGAGAGCAACCCTCACGGACTCGCTCTCGTTTTGCCTCGCGCAACTCACGGCGGCGGCCGGGGAGGGTCTTGCTGGGGGAAAGGACCCAGCTATCAACGAGACACCCCTGGGTCGGGCGCTTTTGGCTCTCCGCACGCGCCACATCAAAGCAGCGGGGGGAATCGAGCGCTTCCGGGCACGCGACGGGCTCCGCCCCCTTCTCGCCCTGCTACGGCGAGCTGCTGCGGACCCCGCCCCGTCACACGCAGGCCCAGGCTCCGCCCCCTTGTCTGTTGCGTCAGCTGCTTCTGCTGGTCCCTCCCCCTCCCCTAGCCCTCCCTCTTCTGTGTCGCTGTCGACGTCTTCGCCGCCAGTGCGCCTGCGCAAAACTCTGGACTTGGCGCTCAGCATCCTAGCCAACTGCTGTACGGAAGGGGCGTGCCGGGCTGAAGTGCGCAGACTCGGAGGCATTCTCCCTTTAGGTAAGTGTTCCGCCTCCCTTTCCTAGAAAGAGTCTGTCCGCACCTACCTGCAGGTCTGGGCGTGGGCAGTCTCGGGTTCTTTGTGTCCCGGCTTGAAATAGTGCTTTGTGACGGCGCAACGCCCCCATCTCCCAAGGCGTCATGCCCATGACGTCATTGCTCTCTCCGCAGTTTACGCCCGAGCCCCCTCAGACCAGATAATAGCGGATAGCATGGGCGCCTCCCTCGCCTCTGAACAGATGGAGACCAGCTGATGGTTTTTCGGATCATTCTTGTCCTCAGTTATGACGTTCATAGCAGACACTCACTGTCCACTACGTGTCCAGCCCTGTACCTCCCCCACCCCGCACCGGATGAGCTGGAGGCTAGAAGGGGCGGTGGGTTAAAAAGTGCAGGGAGCCCTTCAGGCGAGTCACTGAACCCCGCCAACGCAGGATTTGTTCTGAAGTGGGACAAGAATAGATACCGCGAAACATTGAGAGTGGGGAGAAAATAAAATACGCTTTTATAGAGCGCACAGACTAAGCATAGGCTGGGTATTTCAAGTTATTAAAAATTTAACACCCATAAGAACAAATCCCGACGAAAGATATGCTTTTCTGTTTACCAGCTAAATTGGCGCCTCCTGGTGGCGACGATGGGAACACAGCAACAAGCCATTGCTTGCCCTCTGAAATTATGCCAGTTTTGACAAAATCATAATTTTTTGGATAAAGTGAAACATTAATATATTTAAAACTTGAATTAAAGGTATCTGAATCATAATGTGTTTCACAGGGTTCCTAGCACATTTGTAAGTTCTCAGTAAGTGATGGGTTTTGTTAACTGTGTTAACCCTCATCAGTCTTTAAAGTATTTTTGCCTTTAAAGTGTCTCTGGAATCCATCCACTTCTTTCCATTTCTGGTGCTCAGAGACTGCTGGGCAGGAGAGGCAACTAACGTGTCCTTTCTCACCTAGACTGTTGTGATAGCTTCTTCACCACTCCCTTGGCCTTATTCCTTTCTCCTCAAGGCCCAGTGGCCTTGAATACCAGATTGTATCATGTCACTCTCAAAACCCTTGTGTGGCTCCCAGTGCCTTCACATTTACGACTTGACCGGTTGGCCTGGCGTTTGAAGCTGTTCATGAGATCATAGCACAGACACTTGGTGCTTCCTCTGGGCTTTGGCCTATTTAGGATTCCAGACCCAGCATCTTCTGAAGGGCTTCCCTGACCCAAGTAGCCACATTCTTGAGGTGGTTGACAAGGAACCCAACTTCCTTTGCAGTGACCATTCTGCAGTGTGTGAAGACAGACAGCATCCAGAACCGAACGGCTCGTGCTCTTGGGAACTTAGCCGTGGAACCGGAGAGCTGTGGGGAGATCCACTCTGCTGGTGAGAAGGCGCTGAGCCTGGGTTAGCCAGGGGTTTCAGCAGGAGAAGGGCTCAGGTGTCTGTCCTTGCTTACCTGTGTCCTCTCTTTTCCCCTCCAGGTGCTGTTCCCTTGCTCGTGGAGAGCCTGACAGCCTGTCAGGACTCACAGTGCCTTCAGAGCGTGGTGCGTGCCCTCCGCAACCTGGCAGACTCCCCGCAGCACCGCCTGGCCCTGGCCCAGCAGGGAGCCGTGCGCCCCCTGGCTGAGCTCCTGGCCGCTGCCCCAGATCCTGCACTGACCTCAGCCCTTGTCCGTGCCCTCCTGGAACTCAGCCGTGGCTGTTCCCGGGCCTGTGCTGAGCAGCTGAGTCTGGGTGGGGGGCTGGGGCCACTTGTCAGCCTGGCTTCTCACCCGAAACGTATGGTACGTGAAGCAACCATCCTGATCCTTGCCAACCTGTGTGCCCAGGGCCTAGTCCGGCCTGCACTGGGCAATGCTGGCGGTGTGGAGGTGTTATTAGGTGAGCTCCGGCGACGCCGGGGCCCCAGTGGGGCCAGCCCAGCTTCTCAGCAGCCCCTGGTGCGGGCTGTGTGCCTTCTGTGCCGGGAGGCCATCAACCGAGCCCGCCTGCGGGATGCTGGTGGCCTAGAGGTGCTGATGGGCCTGCTGCGGGATCCTCATGCCAGCGCCTGGCATCCACGGGTCGTGGCCGCGCTTGTGGGCTTCCTGTATGACACCGGGGCCCTGGGCCGCCTGCAGGCTCTGGGACTTGTACCTCTCCTGGCTGGGCAGCTGTGTGATAACACTGGTGAAGAGGAAGAGGAGGGAAGAGAAGCTGCTTCCTGGGACTTCCCTGAGGAGCGGACCCCTGAGCGGGCAGAGGCTGGGAGCTTCCGAAGCCTCAGGCGAGTCCTCAGCTCTGGGCCTGGGAGAGCAAGGGGATGATCCATTCTGGTCCTCTTCACTGCCCTCACCCTCTGTTACATCTCAGTAAGACTCCTAATAACTCTCACTCCTGATTCCTCTTTCTTTTCGGACATGGCTACTTTCCAGTCCCCATTAAACATACCTCCTCTTTCCTGATTATCTTCCTGTTAGCTTTGGCCCCTCATTGCCTCTGAGCTTTGGGCTCCTGACAGGTTCATGGGGAGGTAGTATGTACACTGGTTACTATGATAGTCTGTGATAGAGCTCAAATTCTCATTCCCTTACCATCACTTATGAGCTGAGACATCATGGGAAGTGAGTTCTCTGAGCCTCTCGTTCCTGATGTGTAAATGGAAGATGACAGCACATATAACCCACAGGTTACTGTACAGATGAAATGGGGGTGCTTTGTCCTTGACATGGCACAAAGCAGTGGTCAGTAAATGTCAGCCTTTGTGCAAACTCTTGGTCATCGGGACCACTCTCCTTGGTGCCTTCTTCACTCTTACACACTGGCCGTCTCTGGTTTTGAAACTCGCTTGGAAGGTGCTGTCTGGGGGCCTCTTTGCTCTTCTTGCCTAGAACACTTTTCCTACGGTGTGCCTTTGTTTCTTACCTCCTTCAGGTCTTTGTTCAGCTGTACCATTACCTGCCCGTTTAAAAGTTCAGTTCTCCCCTGCCCAGCTCTTTCTGTGCCCTTTTCCGTGACTTTTTTGGTGCCTTTTTCGTGACTTCACAGTAACAAGCAGTATGTTTTACTTATATCGTCTGTTACCCCTTGAAAGAACATAAACTCCAGGAGAACAGGAGCTCTGTTTTGTTCAGTGCTTTTCCACAGCAGTTAAAAAGTGCTTGGCACATGGGAGACAGCAGTAATTGTGAGGGAGGCTTTATTGCTTTATCCCCCTCTGGAGTCTCCACATACCCCGTTATCCACACTCCTGCTGTTCCCCAGCTCCGCCTCCTCTCACAGGATGGCTCTTTTCCACTGTGTTCCCTCCCCTTGGCTGTGGATTCAGTGTCCTTGTCCTTCTGCCCTTTGCAGGTCATGGCTGATCTCTGAGGGCTACGCTGTGGGCCCCGGAGATGTCTCTCCAGACTGGTCTCCTGAGCACTTCCCGCTGCCGGAGCCAGCAGACTCCATCAGTAACACCCCTGGGAAGACCTCGCTCCGGACCCCATGCACACTGCACACCCTGGGCTACAGCCCCACTGCCGCTGCCGCCACCGCTGCCGAGGAGCCCTGGGGCCGGGAAGGGCCAGCACTGCTGCTGCTCTCGCGCTTCTCCCAGGCCCCTGACCCGAGCGGGGCACTTGTGACTGGTCCAGCGCTGTGTGGCTTGCTGGCCTATGTGACAGGTGCGCCAGGCCCTCCAAGCCCACGTGCACTCCGCATCCTGGCACGCCTTACCTGCAACCCTGCCTGCCTTGAGGCCTTTGTGCGCAGCTATGGTGCGGCACTGCTGCGTGCTTGGCTAGTACTCGGCGTCGCGCCGGACGACTGGCCTGCACCCCGGCCCCGGCCCGTGTGTCGAAACCAGCACCGAGAGCTGGGTATGTCTCCTAGCTCCCTGCCCGCAAGAGGCCTCATCTTCTTCCTGTGCCTTTCATGGGCCAGAGCCTTACCTTACTGCCCACCTGCTCTCTTACTGTCCAAGAAACACCAGCCCCCAGGTGTTGGGGCCCTCTGGGCGAAGGGGAGGGTGTGGGGCTATCCCTTCTGCTCCATAGCCCCACACGCAGAGTTATGTTCTGTCCACTCTCCAAACCTTGGGGCCCGGATAACTAGACACCAGGTTTGGCTCTAGCAATAAAACATTCTCTGTCTTTATTTCTTTATCCACTGTACTCGGGTCTGCATTGTCCTGACTACACCCTGGGCACACTGACTTAGGAACCCAGACCCAAGCACCATGTTCCCTTAGGCCTTGCCACCACTTTCAACACTGCCCAGGACTGCTGTCTCCTGTATCCTCACTGCAGACTGTCAGTCCTCGAGGGCCTGGACTTGCACCATGACCATCCTACTTTCTGTTCCTGGCCTTGATTTCTAGTTCTAGTGTCCTCACTCCACCCCTCCAAGGCCTGCAGTCACCCCCCTCTCTGCGCCTTGATTTGTTGTCTTGATTTGTTTTCTCATCCTTCTCAAGGGCCTCGCCCCTGCTGTGCCCGTCCCACGTCAGTCTTTGACACCACTCCAACCTGCCCTGCTCTGCCCACCCTGCAGGGGAGATGCTGCTGCAGAACCTGACTGTCCAGGCCGAGTCACCTTTCGGAGTAGGTGCCCTCACGCATTTGCTGCTCTCTGGAAGCTCTGAGGATCGTGTAGCCTGTGCACTGACCCTGCCCTTCATCTGCCGGTGAGGAGGATGTGGGTGTCTGGTAGGGCTGAGGAGAGCAGAGTTTCCCTCCCCCGAATCCACCCTTGACCACCTTTCTCCCGCAGGAAGCCCTCCCTGTGGCGCAGACTGCTTCTGGACCAGGGCGGCCTCCGCCTCCTCCTCACAGCATTAACTCGGCCAGCTCCGCACCCACTCTTCCTCTTCTTTGCTGCGGACTCCCTTTTCTGCCTCCAAGGCCTGGTGTCTCCTGTCATGAGCCCAGCCTTTCCACCTGAAACCCCCGTGGAGCTAGACCCTCCCTCCCCTTGCCTCTACGAGCCTCTGCTGGGTCCAGCTCCTGTCCCAGCGCCTGACCTGTATTTCCTGCTGGACTCGGGCCTACAGCTCCCTGCTCAGCGAGCAGCCTCAGCAACTGCCTCCCCGTTCTTCCGGGCCCTGCTGTCTGGCAGCTTTGCTGAAGCCAAGATGGACCTGGTGCCACTTCGAGGCCTGTCCCCCAGTGCAGCCTGGCCTGTCCTGCATCACCTGCATGGCTGCCGGGGCTGTGGGGCTGCGCTGGGGCCCGTGCCCGCACCAGGCCAGCCCCTGTTGGGCTCGGACGCTGAGGAGGCCTTGGAGGCTGCTGCCCGTTTCTTGCTGCCTGGGCTTGAGGAGGAGCTGGAAGAGGCTGTGGGCCGCATCCACTTGGGTGCAGAGGGTGCCCCAGAATCAGTGGTTGAGGTATTCCGCCTGGGCCGGCCCCGACTAGCTGCCCTTTGTGCACGCTGGACACTGGGGCCAGGGCAGTGCCCAAGGAAGCGGGCCCTGGCCCTTGTGGGACTTGTGGAGGCAGCAGGTGAGGAGGCAGGGCCTCTAACTGAGGCTTTACTGGCCGTGGTGATGGGGATTGAGTCAAGGGACAAGGGTCCCAGCCTAGATGGTTGATTGTCCTGGGAGAAGACCCAAGGACCTGTTTGCTATAAAGGAGGCATCTCAAAGTGGCACAAGAGGAAGCTGAAGGCATCATCATCGAGGACTGAAGAGAAGATGGAACCCCAGGATGATGGTCTGAAGTGAGAAACCAAGGCCAATATCTGGCAAGGGGACCCAAGAGAAGGAGAACAGCCCAGGGCCCTAGATACCTGGCCCAGGCCTGTTCTATGGAGTTGAGATTAAAAAACTTTGTAATTGGATACCACAATTGTGGTCTTTCTGCTTACTTTGCCATGGCAGTTGCCCCATCACTTAACACAACAAGCAGGGTCTGGTCCAGATCTCTGTTTTGACACAGGCCACCCTTGTCATGGAGAAGTTTGAGAAGTTATTGTCCAGTGGTTCCTGGAGGCTGGGACAGGGTTGGAGTTCACAGCCTTCTATTTGAGATGTGTTTTGGGGCCCCAGGAAAAGCCTGCTTCCTGCTCACAGGGCTGTATTACTTGGATGTAGCCCCCCAGCTGGACATAAACCTTAGCACTAAGAGGGTGGTGCTGAAAGGAGCCTTGAGTGTAGGATGTGTCTACAGCCCTGGCATTCCTGTATCCTGAGCATCCTTTGCCCGTCTTGGGCATTCAGTCTCTGGGTCTCCATCTCTTGGGCCAAGTGTTTTTTAACACTGTTTAATGCTGTTGGGGAGACCTGCTGCCTTCCTGGAGTCTCTGAGGACCTGTTCCACTCATGTCCAGGGAGTCAAAGCCCTATGCTGGCACAGGCTTTTGTGCAGCATGTGTGTGTGTGTGTGTGTGTGCGAGATGTTGCTCCAGTCTCCAAGGCAGGATCTTTATCATCACACCTGTGGATCCTTGGCCACTGAGTGTGGGTTGACTTTGAGGAGAGCCCTATACTGGGAGTATAAGGGTCTGCTGCTGGGGAGCTCAGTTTGGCACTTGATTTTGCTCTGCCTCTCTGGGTGTTTGGCTCTTTTATCCTTAGGTATTGCATTAAGGTCATACAAAGAGCTTTAAAAAAATACCTGATGCCTGACCCACCCTCCTTTAAGCAGTGGTCAAGTTTATTTGAGAAAGTAAAAGTGAAGAGTGAGAGAAAGTGGCTCTACAGAGCGAGCTTGGGCTGAGTAAAAGGAAAAAGCAAGATAAAAGAACATCCTGGAGAAAGCAGGGTGAGCTATCATGAGGAAAGCCAGGATAGCAAGTTCTTGGCATCTGTATCCTTTTATACTGTCTAACTCTCAAGGAAAGCCACAAGAATGTCTACATGTATTGTGGTGCTCGGATCTCATGCCCCAGGCTGATGTCAGGTCTAGGCCATGTTATTGAAAACCTGCTTGAGTTCTCGAGAGATGTCCAGATGCAGGGCTTTGGGGACTGTTCTGTTCATGTGTTCTTGGATCTTGTAATTAACAGGTCATGCCTACTTCCCCGGCCAGCTTTGCCATGCCCCAATCTTCTATGTCATTTCCCCCTGAAAGACACATCCCCATAATTCTTATGGGCTGCTAAGGGAGTGGAGGTCTCTGTCTTCTATAGCTTCGTCAAGCTGCAAGGAGCTTTAGAACCTACCCACTTGGGTAATGTGTCTCCAACTACCTTGGCATGTGTGGCTCACTGACTGGGTTGAAGAAAGGAAAACCTATCAGAAAACGAGAAAGGAGTTCATAACCACTGAGCTTCAGTATTAGCTCAAATATGAGGAGCAGGTCAGATTTCCACACTTCCTGTAGCACTGGAGTCTTGCTTTTTGAAGAGAAATCTCAAGTCTTCCAGAGGCTCACAGAACTCTCTCCTTTTGCATGATCTTGTTTTTCAGACAGTTCAGATGGGACTGGCTTTATTCTGGAAAGATGAATCCAATTATCTGCCACCTTTACTGCAGTGGGTGTGGCAAGGATCAATGAGAAGGGACCCTTCCATTTTGGCTTTAAGTAGCAAGTGTCCCCTCTTTCCAAGTGTTTACAAGCACTTGGTCTCCAGGATGGACATTAGATGGTCCTCCTGGGTCAGGAGCTGGCAGGACTCTGTTCCCATACAGTTGGATAGCCTGCTGTACTTGGCCCAGACTGATGAGCTAGTAAGAGTCTCTAGGTCTCTGGGTCTACTATGGTATCAGAGGATAGCCATGGTCCTCCATGTAACATCTCAAATGGGATCATTAACTTAGCTCAGTTTGGGACATGTTATCAACCCTCATGAGTGCTCTAGGCAGCAATTGGAGCTAGGATTCAGATGTCTCTTGACAAAGGCAGTTTTGCCATTAGGGTCTGGTTGGCTCTCTCTACCTTTCCAAAAGATTGAGGCCAACTTCCCATGTAGGATTTTCATAGCTTGTTGTTATGTCCCTTGAGGAAGGAGCTGTAAGGCTGTCCTTGTTTCCCTGTCAGCCTTTTGATTTCCCAAGGAGACTTCAGCCATGTCTCCTTTGTGGCCTGGGCCCTTTCTGAATTGGACTAAACAGTGCCCTAGGCATCAGCATTTTTAAAGCGTTTGATAGGCTCTGACTTGCTTCTGGGTCCAGTGCTCATGTCTGTCCACCAGAGTTGCTGCAGGACAGCTGTCTCTGCATTATCATGTTTCCACTTTGATTTCTCAGGGTATCAGTCCAGGGAGGACTTCCCACTTTGTTGCTGGAGTCTGCCTCTAGCCTTTTCTCTTTCACTGGTAGCTTGGGAAAGGGCTGTTTTGCAGCGAGGATCCTGGTCACCTCAGGGTCAGGGAGGGGATTGTCTTGTAGGCTACCTGGGATTTGGCTGCCTGAGAGTGCTTTCCCTGAGTCTGCACGGGCCTGGGTTTCAGTTCTCTGTTATTTGTGTATTTATTTCCAGATCTTGGGGGGCTGGTCCTACCTTAGAATCTGTGTGTAGCTTCACCCTATGTGTTGTCTCTGTCTGAGTTTTGTGTCTAGTCTGTGAATGTGGTTGAACTGTCTCCCATGGGAGAGCTCCGAGCCTGGGCTTTGACAGATCCTCGGAACATCACTCCTCCTTCCAATTCAAACATTCTGTTAGGGACAAGTCCCTGGTATGCCCTAGGAGGGAGAGGGCTCTGCCTAGGACTCAGGCGTTGTGCTTGGTGCTTCAGCACTGTCTGAGAGTCTCTGGGTAGGGCTCTGGAGCTCCGACTGCAAGAGCCACTTCTAACTCCCAGCTCTGGCCGCCTGGGGCTCCGCGTGGAGACCAAGGCTGGGGTGTGGCCGCCCCTGGCAGGCCAGCGGGCTGGGCTTGGGTGGGCCCTCTCTTCCACGCCCCACTCCACCCCCACCCCACCCCCACCCCATCCCAGCGGGTCCCGGCTTCCTTACATGGTCACGGCCCGGCTCCCAGCTCCGGACGTCCCGGCCCCACCGGACACGGCCCCGCCCTCTCGACCCGCGGGCCGCCCGCGCCCGCCATGGAGGACCTGGGTGAGTGGGGCCTGAGACCCCGAGCTCCGGGCCTCTCAAGGCCGGACCGCTCTTCCCCGCCCTCCGCTGCCGCGTGGTGCTAGCCCTGTTCCCTTGCTCTGGCTTCTCGACTGCCCGCGCCTCCTCAGCGACTCCACGTCCCCCTTCCTGCCTCTCCCTTCCTGCCTTTCCTGGGGTGGCCGCTCCCTCCCTTCTCCCTCGCCGGGCTCTTTCAGTCCCGGCTTCGGTGGATGGACAGGGAGCAGCGGCGCCCGCAGTCGCCTGGACTCTGGGGAGGGAGGAGCCTTGGTCCAGGGTTTGGGACCGTAGCCGGGAGGGAGAGTAAGACAAGCTTCGGGATGGAAGCCGGCCCGCTGGCCCGCCTGGATTCGGGGAAGGGAGGAGTTACGGCTCCTAAGCATCGTAGAGGTCAAGCCCTGCGTTAGGAAGGATGCCAGCTGAGGGGTGACCAGAAGCTAGAGACAGGCTTTAAGGCGTCCACCGAGATGCAGGGGCAGGGACTCCTGGCTCTGGAAAGTGTTCGCAGCACCCAGATCTGCTTGGGGTGGAAGGGCATTTAGTAGGGGCTAGGAGGACCCAGGTGCGTCCTTCTGTTTGCTGACACTGGAGCTGGAATACCGAGCCCCCACGGAAGAGCAGTTCCAGCACCCTGCAGCAGAGGGTGCTCATCGGTAGGGGTAAGTGGCGCACACTGTGGAGAAGCCAGTCAACGAGCTGGACCGACAGATTCACCAATGAGGGCCACTGGGTGGGATTCACTGGGCGGGAATTTACTAAGTGTGACAGACACAGCAGCCAATGAGGAGGCCGGGCTCCAGGCGCACAGCCGATTGAGCAGTCTGGAGTAGATCCCAATCCGGCTTGAGTAAAGAGCCAATTTTGACTGCATCGGAAAGATGAGAAAAAAAATCATGTGGCTGGGTTTGTGCTTCAGTTCCAGCGTGAGCCCAGCCCCAATGTCTCCTCAGGAATACTCCTTGCTATCCTTCTACTTCTCTGCCTTGGATTGGCCCTGTGTTTATGTTTCTCTTCCTTCTTTTCTTTTCTTTTCTTTTCTTTTCCTTTCTTTCTTTCTTTCTTTCCTTTTCCTTCCTTCCTTACTTTCTGTCTCTCTCTCTCTCCCTCCCTCCCTCTTTCTCTCTTTCTTTCCTCTCTCTCCTTTTTTTCTTTCTCCTCTGGTCTTAATAATGGCTTTTATCCTTTTAAAACACCGCCTGCTTCAAACCCCTACTCTAACATCTTAAGGCCTTGTCTCTGCCCAGACTTGACCCCTTCATCTCTCACCCCGAGCGCCTCTCTCTGCAGATGCCCTGCTCTCTGACCTGGAGACCACCGCTTCACACATGCCAAGGTCAGGGGCTCCACAGGAGCACCCCCCAGAGCCACGCACACCTCCCCCGCCCTACGGACACCAGCTGCAGGTGAGACCAGAGACTGGAGCCTGGGGGACGACTAGGGCCAGGGTTAACCCGAGTGGGGTCCTGTCATCCCACACATGCATGTTTTCTCTCTGTAGACAGGGTCTGAGGAATCTTCAGGAGCCTCTGGGGATAAGGACCATCTATACAGGTGAGGGGTCTGGGAACCAGGGCGTGCTGTTGGGGAAGCCAGCGGAGGCTCAGGTGAAGTTTGGGTTCTCCACCCCTAAACCCAAGCTCCCACCCTGTTTCTCAGTACGGTATGCAAGCCTCGGTCCCCAAAGCCTGCGGCCCCTGCGGCCCCTCCATTCTCCTCTTCCAGTGGTGTCTTGGGCTCTGGGCTCTGTGAGCTAGATCGTTTGCTTCAGGAACTTAATGCTACTCAGTTCAACATCACAGGTACTGGGTTCCTAAGACAGAACTTGATGGGATGGGGGCAGGGCGGGGTGAGACTAAGGGGCACAGCCTTCCCAGAGGAGCAGTTAAAGAGACACAAAGCCTTAACTGGGACAGTGGGTTGAGCATGGCCCCATGTCCAGCGTTATTCTTTCGTCTCTCCAGATGAAATAATGTCTCAGTTCCCATCTAGCAAGGTGACTGCTGAGGAACAGAAAGAGCAGCAATCTGAAGATAAGAAAAGACCTAGCCTGTGAGTCTGGCATAGCTGGCGGGACTGCAGAGAGGGATGGGTCCTGGATGTCTGAGTCACCAGAGGCAGCGTTTCTCTGGGAGCTCCGAGGTGACACAGGCTTGCTCTCTGCAGTCCTCCCAGCCCCCTTCTTGACCTCCCAAAGCCTTCAGCCACCTCAGCCACTCTGGAGCTGGACAGACTGATGGCCTCACTCTCAGACTTCCGTGTCCAGAACCCTGTGAGTCAGGCAGGGGTAGCTGGTGTCAGTCTCCACCCACCCACCGTAGGCCCTTGTGTCTGCTGCCTTATTGACTCTAATGTCCTCGCCACTGCAGCTTCCAAGCTCTGGGCCAGCCCAGACACCAGCAGTGAGCTCCGCAGATGAGGGGTCCCCATCCCTGCCAGGGCCGGCGAGCGAGGGCAGCCTGGACACCATGCTGGGGCTGCTGCAGTCGGACCTCAGCCGCCGTGGTGTCCTCACCCAGGCCAAGGGCGTCTGTGGCTCTTGCAATAAACCTATTGCTGGCCAAGTAAGTGGAACCTTCTAAGAGGGAAGGACGATAGCCACAGACCCGTCTTTATTGAGAACCAGGCTGTGTGCTGTTTTCTTCTAATAAATAACTCTGTTTAGTGGACATTATTATTCATACTTTATGTTTTTTAATTGAAACATTTTTGGTGCTGAGGATGGAACCACAGCCTACTTCATGCTAAGCACGCTGCCACTGAGCCACACCCCACTAATTAGCCCATGATTTGTATTTTGTAGATGAGGAAACAGCAAATAAGTGGTAGGATAAGAATTCCAACCTTGTTATTATTGTGGTCCTATTGCGTGCTGGGCACTGTGCTAGATCCTTTTCAAGACCTCATCTCACAAAAGGCTTACTGGTTCCACCCAGCATCTCTCAGGTATCCAAAGACTGTCTCTTCTCCTTGGAAGAGGGAGAACTCCGGTTCTTGGCTTATGACTAAACAAATGTGGCATCTGTGCCCAGTCACTGGCCTAGAGCGTCCTGCAAAAGTGCCTGACTTCCACCTCAGATTTTCCAATCTCAGCCAAGCGGGTGGCAATTTGACATCCATAGGCTCTTGGTACTTTTTTTTCTGGGTCTTTTCTTCTACTAAAAAAGGCCTGTTTTGGCATAAAGGTGAAAGTATTAATATTCAATGTTAAATCATTTTCTTCTTGTTCTTTTGTTCAGATTTTAAAAAACAAATTAAAACCTGTTCATTGGCCCCTAAATGTACTGTGGGCCCTCTGTACTGACCCTGATGTGCCTCAGGGATATGTTTAGCCTGGAGCAAAGCTGGAAGACCTAGGTTGAATCTCCATCATGTACAGGGTGCATGACCTTGAACATTGAATTTTCACCCTTAAGTCTCAGAGAAGACTTGTAAAGTGCCATGTAAACCTCAGTTCACTGGGCAGGGGGCAGACCCAGAGCCACTCTGACCCAGGCCCCTCAACGTGCAGGTGGTGACTGCTCTGGGCCGTGCCTGGCACCCCGAGCACTTTGTTTGTGGAGGCTGCTCCACAACCCTGGGAGGCAGCAGTTTCTTTGAGAAGGACGGAGCCCCCTTTTGCCCCGAGTGCTACTTCGAGCGCTTCTCTCCTCGCTGTGGCTTCTGCAACCAACCCATCCGGCATGTAAGCTCTGGCAGGCCCACTCATCTCTCGAGCCGGACCGGCCGGAAGGGCCTCACGGGTCCCCCACCTCCGCCCAACTCCCCCTCCCCTAGCCCTGTTCTCAGCTCTCCTGTGATTCTGAAGTTCCTTGTTAGACCTCGCCCCTCCTTAGACTCGCTTCAGCCCTGTCACCCAGGCCCCAGCGGGAGCGGGAGGGCAGAGGGGACAGAGGGCCTCCCTGAGCGTCTCCCTCCCTCCCTGCAGAAGATGGTTACCGCCCTGGGCACCCACTGGCACCCGGAGCACTTCTGCTGCGTCAGCTGCGGGGAGCCCTTCGGAGAAGAAGGTAAGAGCCCGATCCCCGCCTTGAAAGGCCCAGTCCCCTCGACCTCGTGCCGCCCTCCGGCTCCGCGGTCCCGGGCCATGGGCCTTCTCCAGTTCTCTTCTGGTTAGTCTCCCAACCGTAGGTTCCCATTCCCTGCCCCGTCCTCGCCCGGCCCCTCCGCGCCAGTGTCAGATCTCGCAGGGTCCCTAGTCCTGCCCACTCGGTTCCCGCCCCTAGGTTTCCATGAGCGTGAGGGCCGGCCCTACTGTCGCCGAGACTTCCTGCAGCTGTTTGCCCCGCGCTGCCAGGGCTGCCAAGGGCCCATTCTGGATAACTACATCTCGGCGCTGAGCGCGCTGTGGCACCCGGACTGCTTCGTCTGCAGGGTGCGCAGCTGGGCGAGCCGAGCACCGGGACTGGCGGGCGGGAGGCGGGGGCCAGGAGCGGGGCGGGGCTCGGCGCTGGGCGGGAGTCAGGGCGGGGCTTCGCGTGGGCGGGGCTAATGCTGGACGGGGCTTCGCGGGGGCGGGGCCGGAAGTGTTTCTCTGCTACTCAAGCTGGTTACCTGGTCTGGGCTTTGGCCCCTGACTTTCTTTCACGACCTCCTGTTCAGGAATGCTTCGCGCCTTTCTCTGGAGGCAGCTTTTTCGAGCACGAAGGACGCCCGCTGTGCGAGAACCATTTTCACGCCCGGCGCGGTTCATTGTGCGCCACATGTGGGCTCCCCGTGACCGGCCGCTGCGTGTCGGCCCTGGGCCGCCGCTTCCACCCGGATCACTTCACCTGCACCTTCTGCCTGCGCCCGCTCACCAAGGGCTCCTTCCAGGAGCGCGCCGGCAAGCCCTACTGCCAGCCCTGCTTCCTTAAGCTCTTCGGCTGACCCCCGGGGTCTGAGCCCGAAAAGGCCCCTTCCCTCCGGAAAGGCCCGATCCTCCAGACCCGGGGCTCGAGGCTGCCCCAAACCGTGGTTTGTGTGGCCCTAGCCACTGGGGAGACCCGGCCCTAAAGTCCTCCACGTTCGGAGGTCGAGTTCAGAAAAGACCCCGCCCGTCCGGCACCCACACGCCCCCAAAGGGTATTATAGTGCAGACCTCCCGAGTGAGCCCTTCACTTCTGTTCCCACCCGAGAGGACCCTTGCAATGCCGGCAGAGCAGAGGCCCGGCAGGCCCCCACCGCACCCCTCACTAGTCTGTGCACTTTTTTCTACATAAACACGCATTCCACGGCTCCCTGGTGCTGTCTCTGCGCGACCACCTTGCCTTCGGACGCCCCGCCCCTCTGCGGGCTGCGTCCTCCTCGGGCTCTAGGCCACCGCCCAGTGGCCCGGACCGGAACTGCTCCCCTCTACTTTGCAGGCTCGGCTCTCGAAAGGGCAGCTCCTGAGCCAGATGAGCAGAGTCGGAAAGGGCGGCCACTTGTGCGGGATTGTACAGATAGTAGTGGAACCAGGACAGAAACTCAGATTGGGGAACCCTTGAACCTTGCGCCTCCATGCATTCCTTAATCTCCCTGTGGCCTTGAAATAAGCGCTTAATATGCTCCCCCTTCTGCCCTGCCGTTGCCTGGTTCCCAGATTTTATTTTCCCGTAAAAGGCCCTCAGAGACGGCTCTCCGTCCAGAAGTGTCAGGGTATGCCCAGCCTCTGGATCTGGCAACCGAGGCACAGCTTTCGTCCTAGTCCTGCACACATATTGAATCGCCTGCGATATTCATGTAGATACGGCCCCATCCTACCCTTCTCTTTTCCCACTCTGAGTATCCATGCCAAGGGGAGGAAGTCGACCTGTCCGAAGTCATTCTTTACATTCCCTGTTGGTCCATCAGCAACTCTCTGAGGCTTTTTCTGACCCAGCTCTATGCCTAGATAGTCACTGCCCTGGAAAGTGCCAGACTGGTGGAGGAGACTAAGGCTTGGACAGAGGAGGACACTGCATGTGACAGCAGTGTCTGAGGGAAACCCTGGGCGCTATTGGAGCTGGGAAGGGCTTCTAACCAAGACCAGGAATCAAGGAGGGCTTTGTGGGAGAAGTGGCACTTGAACTAAGTCACAACAGATAAGGGGGAGGCTAGGGGTTTCAGGTCGGGAGAAGTTCAGGCTCCTGCGTTCCCAAGTCCCAGGGGCCTTCATGAGCCCCAGAACTTTCCCTTTGGGCCCTTTCCCCTAGGGAGCGGTCTGGGCCTGGGGTCCAGACTATAAGGGCTTTTAGTGCTGCAAATGAGGCCCTTGCAGCTCATTGAGAGAAGCTAGCACTCAAAGGCAAGAGAAAGCAGTGAGGAACGCTCTACCCATGTCTCTGGCGGACCTTCAGATCTTTCCTCTGCAAAGCTCCACTCCCTGGCTCTTTCTAGTTCTGTTCTTTCCCTTCCCCTTCCCCTCCCTGAGGCCCATCCTCTGGCATCCTGGACTTCTGTCTCTTGAGGGTGCCCAGATTGGCCATCTCCAATCGATTCACTCACTCAGCAAATGTTCAGGAGCACTTACTGAGCCAGTCTCTGGGGGGCCATGAGGAACCAACCAGACATCCTCCTTGCCCTCAGGGAACTAAAATCTAGTAGAGAAAACAGATAACAAACAAGCACACACAAATGAGTGTGAGGAAGAAATGGGGCATTGCTTCCCTGACTGTTTGGGTAAAGTTAGCTCTCCTCACGGTGTCCATCCCAGGGAGACTCCCTCATTCCCTCTGGGCGCCCATCACTATTGTGAACAGGTGTCATTCCCCACTTGTTCGTATCTGTTTCTGAAACTGGAGTGAAAGCTCCTGAGAGGAGGCAACATATTTGTTGTGCTGCCCACCCAGTGTCTACAACGATGTCTACTGTAGGGTAGGTACGCGTTAAATGTTTCTTAACGAAAGGGGAACAAGAAAGGAAGGAAAGGAGAGGGGAATGAGAAGGAAAAAGTAGGGAACTAAGTTAGAGATGTGAAAGGAACCGGGTAGTCGAAGGCCTCTGTGAAAAAGTAATGTTTAAGCTGAGACTTAGAGATTGAGAACTAGTCTGCCAGGCAAAGAGCCCCAGAAAAGCATTCCAGGAGAGGAAACAGCAAGTACAAAGGCCAAGAGGTGGGAAGGAGCTTGGCATATTCAAAGGAAGGAAAGAAGGCCAAAGTGGTAGGTCAGAGCAAACTATGGAGAAAGTAGTAGGGCATGAGGTGAAAGAGAAAGTTGGTGTCACACCGTGAAGAGTCTTTTAGGCTGTGGTGAAGGCATGTAGATTTTAAGTGCACATGACCCAAATGTGTCCTGTGATGCTTGCCTTTGGATTTCTTTTAGGTACTTTTTCTTAGTTACTTCTCTCTCATTGCTGAGACCTACCTGACACCCCAAGTTAAAAGGGGAAAGGTTTATTTAGCTCATAGTTTGTAGAGGTTTCAGTCCATAATTGTCTGGGTCCAAGGCAGGGGGGCGTGGCAGAGGGACAACAGTTCAGGATGGCAGAACATAGCAAAGGCGATGAAGGGACCTTACCAGTGTCTCTCTGCCCTTTTTATACTCTATCCAGGCTGTTTAGGGCAGGTAGCACTCACACCCTTAATCCTAGTGCCCTTGAGCCTAGTTTTGTTTTTTTTTTCCTTTGAGCCTAGTTTTGTGCCATGAATCAGTTCCAGTGTCACACACTCAAGATCCAGCCACCTCTGAGAAAGCATGAGGCTTTGAGGGGGACATCTAGACATAAGCCGTAGCACATTTTAAACTTGCACCCTGAAGCAGTCACTGGGGGTGAATGCACTTCGAGTGTCCAGTAAGCCAGAGTGTGGGGACTTGTGCAAAGCTGTGTGAGCCAGGACAGAAACTCAAGCTGGGGCCCATGGAATCTTACCATCCCCATTCCTCCCTCTTCAGCGCCTTTTATACTTGAAATAAGCACTTAATTTGCTCTTCCTCCTGCCATGGGTATGTTTGGTTTCCAGATTTTTGCTCTTATCTCAAAGAGTTTTAATTAATTAATTAATTAGAGACAGGATCTTGCTATGTGGTTCAGGCTGGTCTTGAACTTGTCTCAATCCTCCTGCCTCAGCCTCCCCAGTGCTGGGATTACAGGTGTGCACCACCACACCTGGCTAGGGTTTGCTTTTAAAGGAATCTACTCCAAGGCACTCCCTAAATAAGCCTCATCACGTTTCCCTGTATGCCCCTTCTACAGCCCATTCTGTATTCCTTGGCCTTCATAAGCTCCGCAGCAGTTCTCGGTTCTTTCCCTGGCAGGGTGACCCACACCTTCATTGCTGAAGGTTCTGGGCCATTTGTCACCCTGCTGGATTGTTCTGGTTTCCCATTGACCCTAGAAACAGGACATGGTCATACTAGGAGGTTCCCTAAGAGATCTCCTATGCTCCAAATATATTTCTCCTTTCTTCCATTGTGGAGTAACAGTCCAATTTCCTCTTGACAGTTTGGACCAGTCACCCCTGCCGACACCGTAACTCCCCTTTTAGCTAGTTTACTCAGAAGTATGAGGAGACTAAAATGACCAAGAAGTCTTAGCTTCCAGTTCAGTGGCATCATTGTTGTGTTTCCTGTGACAAACCTTCATCCCTCTGGAACTAAGACTTTTAGGCCAGCAGAACATAAGGTCACAGGAACAGGAAGCAAAATTTTTGCTAGTGGGTCACTAGGGGTAATGGTGAGTGGTACCATTCCCACTTCCATATCCTTGATTCCAGGATTCACCCTGGACCTGTGAATCCTGGCTGTGGGAAACACAGTACCATGGAGTGGATGCCTATATATCCTGCCCCAGCCCTGCAAGCTATTGTCACCCAGCTGGCACTGGAATTATGTCTTTGAAAGACCATTTCACCTTTCTATCAATCCAGCCGCTTCTGGATGGTGAGGAACCTGGTGAGACCAGTGAGCTCCATGAGCAAGAGCCCACTGCCTCATTTCTTTGGCCATAAAATGTGTTCCTTGGTCAGAGGCAATGCTGTGTGGAATTCCATGATGGTGGATAAGGAATTCTGTGGGCCCATGAATGGTAGCTTTGGGAGAAGCATTACATGCAGGAAAAGCAAATCCATATGTAGAATAAGTGTCTGTGCCAGTAAGGATAAAGCACAGTTCCTTCCATGATGAAAGTGGTCCAATATAATCCACCTGCTACCAGGTCCCAGGTTGATCACTTTGGGGAATGGTGCTATTCTGGGGACTCAGGGTTGGTCTCTGCTGCTGGCATGTTGGGCATTCAGCAGTGGCTGTCTCCAGATCAGCCTTGGCGAGTGAGAGTCTGTGTTGCTGAGCCCATGCATGACCTCCATCCCTGTCACCATGGCCACTGTGTTCATGAGTCCACTGGGCAACTCCAGGGGTGGCTTCAGGAAAAGGCTGAGTGCTGTCCCCAGAACAGGTCATCCAATCCACTTGGTTATTATTATTATTATTTTACATTTAAAGCACTGGCTTTTATTCAAATACTACTCATCTGTAACATTTAAAAAGCAAGCAGAACAAAAAAAACCAAGCAGAACAGAAGCAAATGTTTTATTCTTCCAACTAAGTTCCAGTACTACAAGGGGAACAAAACAATGATACACTGGAAAAAAAGCAGCAATAATCATCCGCTAAAAAGACTGATAGAATAAATAAAACTACCAAGAAATCATAGAAACCCATTCTGAAACCCCAAGAAGTCCTGGAATATAGAAATGGCCTCCTCTTTCACTATTTCCCAGGAGGCACGGTAGGCTATTTGCTTAGGATGGTCCTGGGGTTACACTCTAAATTACTAATAACTGGTTACAGCTTGGCTGCAGTGCACAATGAAAATCACTAACTTCATCTGGTGTCATTCTACAGTTTTATTTACACAACCAGTGAAGGGCATGTCTAAAATACCAGTTTATCTTTTTCAAACATATTAATATAAGAAGCCAAATTGTAATGATACAGCAAAATGAGGCCACTAGTATTAATACAGGTAGCAAAGGTCCACATCCAGGTTGTACTGACATCAGGGAAATTTCCAAAACCAGTTGCTGCTGCCTAAGAATGGTTGTCACTGATGAAAGCTTGAAATAACCTGTATTCACGGGGGTATTGGCATTGCTGTGTGTCATAACTGGGACCTCCTCCAGCAATTTGCCAAGGAGCAAGGCAGCCCACAAATGCAGAAAACGTAATTCACAAAACATAACTACCAGGCTGTTCTCCATATCGTCGAATTATTTGATCACGCGTAAACTTCACAAATGCATCATATTGTTCTGCAAGTTTTGCGCTCAATATTTCTTCATATTCTTCTCGAATTTTGTCCACATATTCTTTCAACAAATGTTCACAGATAATCCCAGCCTGCCGTAGAGTAAATAAGAGTTGTTCTGTTTTTGATGGTGAGGATGCTGCAGATGAAGTCCCTGGTGAGGCTGGTCCTCTGAGGAGAAATGCGTGTGGCTGTGCATCAGAACTACAACCTGGATCTGTCCGTTGGAAACTAGTTTCTAAATGTCTTCTCCTCTGCATGTGTTTATACTCTTGCTTTATGTGGTACAGAATTTGTTCTCCTACTACAGGCGTTGGCTCCATTGACTTGCTTACATCCATGCCTGGGTCAGAACTGGTGTCACTCTCTGTGTTAGGCTCCTGTTCCCTCTTGGGCCTTTGGTCCTGTGCTTCCATGATGCTACCTCAAACCTTCTCTGATGAAGCTTTTCAAGAAAATGAGATGGTCCCTATACTTTCCACAGTATTTTGGGCTTCCTTCTGCAAGCCCATTGTTATAAGGGTCCCAATCCACTTGATTATTAAAGCTCTCTTCTGCTGAAGTCATCTTTTGGTGAGCATTTACATGAAGCACAAATATCTTCACATCCTTTGCCCATATGGAAAGGTCTATCCATATATTTTCCAGTTTTCCAGTCATGTTCCTTCCAAGTCCCTGACTGTCCAGCCAGATCACTGGCTACAGCTCACAAATCAGTATATAACTGCACATTTGACTAGTTTTTCTTCCAAGCAAAATGTATGGCCAAGTGCACTGCCTGAAGTTCTGCCCACTGTGAAGAATTCCATTTACCACTGTCCTTCAGGGATGTTTTGGAAAAGAGCTGCAATGCTGCAGTTTTCTACTTGCAGGTGGTGCCTGCAAATGTGCAGAACTAGCTTTAAACCAAGCCCTAGCCTTCTCCTCCTCTGTCAGCTGATCATATCATGCACCCCATGAGGCCACAGGTGCATGCTGGGAGACAGAAGGAAGTTCAGCAGGAGTGGGAGCCATGGGCATCTGGGCAACTTCTTTGTGTAACTTACTTGTGCCCTTTGGAACTACTCTGCCTCAATCATGTATACACCACTTCCATTTAATGATAGACTATTGGTGTGCATGTCCAACTTTACAACTTGGTGGGTCACATAACACCCAGCTCATGATGGGCAGCTCAGGGCACATGGTGACCTGGTGTCCCATGGTCAAACATTCAGTTTCCACTAAGGCCCGGTAGCAGGTCAGGAGCTGCTTTTCAGAGGGAGAGTAGTTGTCTGCAGATGATGGCGGAGCCTTGCTCCAAAATCCTAAAGGCCTACAAAGTGATTCGTCTATGGGGCAATTCACCTATGGGGCCTGCTGGAAGCTGCAAACAGCATCTCTACCTGGCAGTGACACTTCAGGTACCACTGGATCTGCTGGATCATATGCCCCAGTGGCAGAGCAGCCTGCACAGCAACCTAGGCCTGTTGCACAGCCTCGCTCAAAACTAGCAGCTTTTTGAGTCACTCTGTAAATGGGCCAAAGTAACACAGTGATCTCTGTTTCCCATTTCAAGGATTATTACAGCCACCGTAAACAGACAGTAGTTCTCCTTGACCATTTCCTGGGAACCAGGTCTCGCCAATTCTAGAAAGGCAGATGTGCAGATATTCACCATCCTTTTTTGTTTCCACCCCTGTGCCAAGCAGTAGGACCTCAGGGATGAATCAGATCAGTCCTTGCTGATGAAGAGTCTCCAGTCTGTTGGGGAGACAGATGTGGATCCAGACAAAGGCCACACATGTGGTCAGAACTGAATCAGAAAGTCTTTCATGAAGAGGTATTATAAACTAGGTACAAAAGAATGAGGATGAGTTGGCCACTTGGAGGCAGGGAGGTGCTCTAAGCAGAAGGCACAGCATATGCAAAGTTTGAGATGTACAAAAAATTCAGATGAGAATTGGAGAATGAGAATGAGAGGAAAGAGTGAGCGGGAAGGAGAGAGGGAGGGGGAGAGAGAATGAATATGAACACGGATCTGGGCTGGGCAGGGCTAGAAAGTGGTAAGGGCAATGTGCTTTGCTCTAGGTTTGGTATGGAAAAGCAAGCAGGGAGGACGGGCAGGACTCCGTGCATGGCTGGCTTGGGGATCAGGCTGAGGGGCTTGTACTTCGTCTCCAGTACGTGGGGCGCTGTGAAGGCTTGCTGAGCAGGGGAGTGACACTGTTGGATTTAGGTTGAAAATCATCTCTCTGGATTAACAGAACCTAGGGACTGGCTCAGCCAGGCTTCCAGTCAAGGGTGAAGGAGATAGATTTTTTGATTCTAATTTTAAATTTTTAATTTTTATTCGTACATGTTTGAGTACATAATGACATTGTGAGTTGATACATGTATGTAACGCACTTTGATTCTTTTTTTTCATATTCTCCTCCCACTCCTTAGTCCTCTTTCCCTACATCCATTGGTTCCCCTCCCTTTTGGAAAAGATCTATGAAGGGAATAGATTTTTTTTTTAGGGAGCAGAAGAGGCGATTTTGAGCCTGGACACTGGGGAGCAGGTGAAGGCTAGGGCCCGGGAAGACAGAAGGAGTGAACCTGAACTTGAAAGGGTGCAGCTCCCCAGGATCAGCCTGCGGCCTTGAGATGACCTGATTCAGCTCAACAAACCTGGGGAGGGTGACCAGACCTGGGGGACTTGTCGGCTCACTGCCCCCGAGGTAACCATTAATCCCTCTCCTGGGAGAATCCAGGGACTGGTCCCTTGAGGGGCAGATCCTGGGCAGAATGGAGAGACACACAGAGGCAGGCTCTGAACCAGCGCTGGGGGACCAGAGGGTCCTAATTGACAATCCTGCTGACGTTCTGGTCATCGCTGCTTATTTCCTGCTGGTCCTTGGTGTTGGCTTGTGGGTAAGAAGTTGAGGGGTGGTTGTTCGAGAACGCGTTCTGGGGCCTGGGAGAAATGTTTTAGGGAGACCCCAGACATGTGTGGGGGAAGGATGCCTGGATATGTGAGGGAAAATCCATGGCCCCGAGGTGAGCAAATCTTTTGAAGGGCTCAGAGAAGCCCAGTCGACATAATTTCTTGTCTTCCCACCTTTGGATTGTGCTAGCTGAAGGGGTCATTGGGTTTCAATCAAGCTCAGCATTCTAAACAAGATCTCTGTCCCCTGTCCATATGTGGCTGGCCAGCAGGCCATGTCCAGGCCCAGCGAAAAGTCAGGTCAAATCAGCCACAACGGGGCTGGAGCAGCTGGACACTGGGATTGGGGTCTGGGGGCTCTGGGTGTCTGGGAAGAGGTTGGGCTGGGGGTTTAAACAATCAGGGGAGTCAAGTGCTGGTTAATCTTCAGCTGGCAACAAGACTGAGGAATGTGTTGAAGAGGCTCATGAGGCCCAGAGACGTGTCCCTAAGCCAAGGCCCCACTTCTGTTCCCCAGTCCATGTGCAGGACCAACAGAGGCACCGTTGGCGGCTACTTCCTGGCAGGACGAAGCATGATCTGGTGGCCGGTGAGGGCAGCTGGCTGATTCCCAGGGGGGCCCTGGAGAGACGGCCTGGCTCACCGTCCTTTGGCCACCCAGGTTGGAGCCTCCCTGTTCGCCAGCAACATCGGCAGTGGCCACTTTGTCGGCCTCGCTGGGACGGGTGCGGCCAGTGGCTTGGCTGTGGCTGGATTCGAGTGGAATGTAAGGGCTCTTTCCCCACAGCAAAGCTGCCCCAGAAGGACCCACAAAGCGGGGGAGGGGGTGGCTTGGTGGTGAAGTACGGGAGCGGAGATGGGCGCCCCAGGTGTGGGGAGAGGCTGGGCTGGGAGCGAGGCTCAGGTGGGCAGCACGGAGGAGGGAGGGCGCACGCGTGCGAAGGTCCAAGGCCGGCGCAGGTCCTGCTCCTGGCTTGCTGCATGAGCAGCGCGAGGCACTCCCTCGGGCGTTGGTATGGTCCTTCCTCACGCGGGGGAAGCAGTTCACAGCTCTCTGCAGCTGCAGTCTGCGAGCTTCTCTGGGCAAGACGAAAGCCCTGTGCGAAAGCTGAAGAGAACACAAAGGTCTGGGCCTGAGGAGCATCCTGGAGGGTTACCCTTGGAGGGCTCTGAGCTCAGGGCTTCCTGCAGGAGGAGGCCTCGGAGTGGAGCCTTGAGGGACAAAAGGTTGGGGTGAGCAGAGAGGAAAGCGGAGGCAGCCCTGCCTGGCAGGTGCTGCAGTCAGCGTGGGGGTCTGCGCTCGGTCCGGAGTCTGGAGAAGGCAAAGTAGGAGGGACCGGCCAGGGGCAGGGCCTAAGGGCTCCAGCTAGGGCCCAGGAAGGTGTCGGGACTCTGGCGCGTCAGCCCCCTTCACTTGTCCTCTGGGCCCCGGTGTAAGCCTGGGCAGGACCGCTTGGCTCAGGGTGCCATGTTCAGGAAAGCAAAGTCTCCGCGCTCCTGCTCCTCGGAGGGAGAGGGCGGAAGAGGAACGCAGGCCCTCCGCCGTCATGCTGTGCCCACAGGCGCTGTTCGTGGTGCTGCTCCTTGGCTGGCTCTTCGCCCCCGTGTACCTGACCGCCGGTGTCATCACCATGCCTCAGTACCTGCGCAAGCGCTTCGGTGGTCGTCGTATCCGCCTCTACCTGTCCGTGCTCTCGCTTTTCCTGTACATCTTCACCAAGATCTCGGTGCGCACGCGCGGCGGCTCCGGCTCCTAGGGCGGGCGGGGCCCCTGCAGCCTGGGAGACTTCGGCAGCCTGGGCCGAAGGAGGCGCGGGGTGACCTCGGCGAGGAGGGTCCGGGCGGGCGAAGGCCAGGCGCTGCGAAACGAGGCCCCTCTGGGGTGTGGCCGCACCTCGGTGTGTGGACGGGCAGGGGCGAACCTGAGCCCTGAGCTGCGCGCTGCCTTTTCCCCAGGTGGACATGTTCTCCGGGGCCGTATTCATTCAGCAGGCTCTGGGCTGGAACATCTACGCCTCCGTCATCGCGCTCCTGGGCATCACCATGGTTTACACGGTGACAGGTGGCTGCAGCTGCAGCTTAGGAGGGCAGCGGGCCGGAACCGTGTGTGTGTGTGTGTGTGTGTGGGGGTTCTTGGGGTTAAGGGAGCAGCTGGAGGAAAGGGGACGGAGAGGAGAGATTTTGAAGTGTGACGGTCCAGGGAGGAGAAAGAACGGAATCACTGGGGAACAAGCTCACTGTCTCTTTCCACTGACCCTTGATTTGGACTGGCCGTTCCAGGGTCAAGCTGGTTTTGGGCTTGAATGGGAACCGGGGAAAAGTGAAGATTTTTCACTCTACTCCTCACCCCACCTTTGGAGACAGGGTCTCACTACTCAGTTCAGGCTGGCCTTGAATTTGACCGCAAACTCACCGTGATTCTCCTGCCTCAGCCTCCCAAGTGTTGGGATTACAGGCATGTGCCACCTCACCTGGCTGATTTTACCCTTCTTAAGTGCCTGAGAGTGGACTTGCTTAGTTTTCAAGATCTCTGTCCAAACCTAGTGCAGCTCTGAGGATTCCAGGGTGGGGCCTGAAGTCAGATGCAGAGCAGAGCAGAGCAGTGCGGCCTGGTGCCACTGGATGGAATGGAATGAGAAATGGGCCCTAGGGAACCACGCCCTCCTACAGTTTAGATGAGAAAACTGGGGCCTAGAGGTAGTCTACAGAGGGCATCTGGCATGTGGCTACCTGGCCAAGGAGGCCTCAGTGGAACCTAAAACAGGCCGCACTCTGCTCATCAGGCCCTGCTTCCTGCTGCTGCAGTGCACGAGCTGGGAGCTTGGCCCATGGTTTTGAAATTTGTTCTCCAGAAAGGGATGCTTTCTCAAATCCTTGGAAAGGCCCATCTGCGCCAGGGAGCGGGCTGGGCGGTCCCCACTGACTCAGGCCTGTTGCAGGAGGACTGGCAGCGCTGATGTACACGGACACGGTGCAGACCTTCGTCATTCTTGGGGGGGCCCTCATCCTCATGGGTTACGGTACGGGGCTCAGTCCGTGGGGGCGCACAGGTGGGGGTGGGGCATCACACGTCTCCGGCACGTGAACCCTGAGAAGGGCCTTAGCACCGGTGCCTCTTTCGAGCAGCCTTCCACGAGGTGGGCGGGTATTCGGGTCTCTTTGACAAGTACCTGGGAGCAGTGGCTTCGCTGACGGTGTCTGAGGATCCAGCCGTAGGCAACATCTCCAGGTCTTGCTACCGACCCCGGCCGGACTCCTACCACCTACTCCGGGACCCTGTGACAGGGGACCTGCCGTGGCCCGCACTGCTTGTGGGGCTCACCATTGTTTCTGGCTGGTACTGGTGCAGCGACCAGGTGAGGGGTCAGGGAAAGGAACTAGGGCAACTGCTGAGCCAGAAGCTGCGTATGAATTAGGGCCGGGGTCGGGGAAGGGACTGCAGCTTGAGGCAAGGCTTGAGGGGCTAGAGTCGGGGACCACACCCAGGCAGCTGATCACCCCTCTTCACAGGTGATAGTGCAGCGCTGCCTGGCAGGAAAGAACCTGACTCACATCAAGGCAGGTTGCATCTTGTGCGGTTACCTGAAGCTGATGCCCATGTTCCTCATGGTCATGCCAGGCATGATCAGCCGAATTCTCTACCCGGGTAATGTCTGCATTCCTCCCCTGCCTGAGGCCTGGGCTGCATCTAGCTCCTACTCCCTGTACCTTCCTAAGATTAGAGAAGCTGGTATCCAAGCCCTGCCTCCTACCAGAAGTCCCACCTCTCCCCTCCTAGCATTCCTAGGCCCCACTAGGATCCAGTGATCCTTGCTCCCAGGTCAGGCTCTATCCTGCCCACTCTTGCAGATGAAGTGGCCTGTGTGGTGCCTGAGGTGTGCAAGCGGGTGTGTGGCACGGAGGTGGGCTGCTCCAACATCGCCTACCCACGGCTTGTGGTGAAGCTCATGCCCAATGGTGAGGGGAGGCCTGCGGGCTGTCCCTTGCCCCATGAACAGGGTCACTGGGACACTGGCCATGCAGAGGGCGCCCTCACTCTCACGGCTGCTGTCTGGCCTGCAGGTCTCCGTGGACTCATGCTGGCAGTCATGCTGGCTGCGCTCATGTCCTCACTCGCCTCCATTTTCAACAGCAGCAGCACGCTTTTCACCATGGACATCTACACCTGCCTGCGGCCTCGTGCGGGCGACGGGGAGCTGCTGCTAGTTGGACGGTAGGCCTAGGCCTTCCTCCTCCCCCTGCCTCCTGCCTCCCAAGTCAGCCTGGGGCTGGGGCATGGAGCCTTGCAGCAAAGGAGCCTCTGGGGTAAAGTCACTCAATGGGCTCCCAACTGCAGGCTCTGGGTAGTGTTCATTGTGGCAGTGTCTGTGGCTTGGCTGCCGGTGGTGCAGGCTGCTCAGGGTGGGCAGCTTTTCGATTACATCCAGTCGGTCTCCAGCTACCTGGCGCCCCCCGTGTCCGCAGTCTTCGTGCTCGCAGTCTTCGTGCCTCGCGTAAACGAGAAGGTGAGCAGTGTCCCCACAGCTGGGGCGGCGCCTGACATCCTGAGCGGGCTAACGCTGCCTCTCCTGCAGGGAGCCTTCTGGGGGCTGATCGGGGGCTTGCTGATGGGCCTGGCACGCCTCATTCCCGAGTTCTCCTTTGGCACGGGCAGCTGCGTGCGGCCCTCAGCATGCCCAGCGCTCCTCTGCCAAGTGCACTACCTCTACTTCGCCATCGTGCTCTTCGTCTGCTCTGCCCTACTCACCCTCGCAGTCTCCCTGTGCACTGCGCCCATTCCACGAAAACATGTGAGTGCTGGCCTCCGTGTGGCAAGGCAGGCACTGCCGGGGCCAGAGACCAACTGCCATCCCCGCTGTGGGTCTGCGTCGAGTACACCCACTGGGAGGCTCTGAATTTCTACACTGAGGACTGTGGGGCAGACCGCAGGAGCCCAGTCTGAATTCCCAGAGCAAGCGAACCTTTTTACTTAAATGACATTTATTTGAAGTAGTTGGGGGGGGTGGGGTGTTGAGCTGAACACTTTTGCAGTTGGTGATTAAAGCTTCCCAAGGTCAATCTTTGGCATGGCCTTTGGGACACAACACACAGGACAGGCTGAGAGGGACACAGCGTCACCCTGGACACCCATGGGGAAGGTGCTCTGGAGCACAGTGGGCTACGGGGACAAGATCAGAGCTGGGCTGGGCGAGGGGCAGGGTGCCACAGGCACGGAGCAGAGCAGCACTGGAGGCTGCAGCTGTGTGGACAGGTCGCCGGCGTGACGAGGCTTGAGGGTGAGCAGGGCCAACAGCTTGACACCCAGCGGAGGGCAAAGGGGTGCGCGTGGAAAGCGAGTTCTGGGCTGAGCCTGGGCTGGCTGTGCAGATCGGGCGGAGGGCGGCGGGGCAGGAGTGACAAACTGACAGACGTGCGCCAGTGTGGACAACCTGCCCGGCTGGGGCGAGGACACAGCTCCCACTTGCTCCCTGCTTCCGCCCCTTCCCAGCTCCACCGCCTGGTTTTCAGTCTCCGGCACAGCGAAGAGGAACGGGAGGACCTGGATGGTGCGGAACTGGAAGAGCCCACCTCTTCCCCTGTACAGAACGGGCGCCCAGAACAAGCGGTGCAGATGGAGGGTAAGGACTGCCTGGGGAGGTGGGCCGGGAAGCCACCTGCCTCCCACTGAACTGCGTGACCCCTCCATTTCCCCCAGAGCCCTGGACCCCAGCCCCAGCCCCAGGCCCATTCCGCCAGTGCCTGCTGTGGCTCTGCGGCATGAGCAGGGGTCAGGCAGGCAGCCCTCCACCCCCGACGGAGGAAGAGGTTGCTGTGACCACTGGGCGGCTGGAGGACATCAGCGAGGACCCGACTTGGGCCCGCGTGGTCAACCTCAATGCCCTGCTCATGATGACCGTGGCCACGTTCCTCTGGGGCTTCTATGCATAAAGTCAAATGTGCTGGGACACCATAAGCCACAGTGGGGCAGGGTTCAGCTTCACAGTAAGCGGGCGTGGGGAGCCTGCAGGGTTCAGAAAGGTGAGCGGGCAAGGGCAGGCCTCGGTTCTCCCCTCTGCTTCGTCTCTGCTTGGGGCCCAGGCACCTGACTGGCAAGCATTTCCTAAGAGGCCGCGGCCAGCCTGCTGCGCCTGTTCACTTAAGCAAAATTAAAGTCGTTCTGCTTGTGTCCTGCTACGGCCTAAGCGGCCTCGCTCCAGGTTCCTGTCTGGGCCCCACCTGACCTGCTCACAAGGTCTTCTTTTCTGGAGACAGGAGCCATGTAGCTCTCCACTCATCCACCTCCAGCTGGTGCTTCTCTGTCTGCCAGCCGGCAGCCTGCAGTCCTGGGGAGAGGGCACAGGGGGATGCTGGGGTGGCTGGGCTGACTCTGGGGAAGGGTTAAGGAGAGGCACAGACCGGTTGTGGTCCTGTGCACTGCCCAGACTCCGCTGCTGGGTGAGCCCTGGGACAACCTTAGGCTGACATTTCATTTGATGGCAGCCAAAATTCAGAGACAGCACACGGAACAGGGGCAGCATGGAGTACATCCTAAATCAAAGGTCATTATCAGTAAATGAGCCCTGCCTCCTCCCCTATTTCTTAAATGCCAACGGGGACTACACAGACTATCAACACTAACACAGCCTCAGAGCCCAGCCTAACTTCCTCACTCCACAGACAGGGAAACTGAGTCTAGACTCACGATCACAGAGAGAAGCCAGGTCTTTCATTTCCCAGGTGAAAGCGTAGGGTGAGTACAGGAAGGTCCCAGGGGTTAAGAAGATAGAGGTCCACATTACCTTCCAAAAACCTTGGGAACAGCTTGTCCAGCACTTGGTTCGTCTCCCTGACGATGGCCCAGTCATCCTTCTCAGGACCTGAGGCAGGTGAAGAACCAGAAGCTCACATGTCCTCTGCAGGATGGACAGTCCATCTCCTCTTCACCCCTGCTCCAAATCACGGCAGGCTAGACCATGAGGCTCTTACCTGCCTGTACCTGGTTCCGCAGTTCCTCTAGCTCTCGTGGAAGGGGTCCATCTTTCTTCAGGGCTCCAAGCAGCAGCCCGTGTGTGGCAGCCCTTAGGACAGCCTCAGGGCCTGCCATCTGGCTCAAAACTACCTGTACCTGGTCTGCAGAGACCCAGGGAGAAGGAGGGTATCAGGGAAGGGTCACTGCCCCAAACGCCCTCAACCCTGTCACTCTGCTTCGCCAGTCTTCCCCCACAGGCCTTCGCCAGAAGACCAAGAGCCCTCCCTAACTTCCTGAGCAACTTCATTTCCCGTTGCTTCCCAATGCTCTGGCCAAACTGAAAGGCCCAGTGTTCAAACACAGCTTCACCGAACCTCACTGAGGTGAGCCAGTGAGAATTAACACCACCGGCAGATCAGCAATGTCAAGGACTGGTTTTGCCAAGCATGGACTCGGAGAGGAGAATGCTTCCCCAGGGACAGCCAAAGGGCATCATCCTGTTTGAGTGTGTGGCAGTACACAAACTGCTTTCACGTAACCACCTTATATGACCCATAGGAAAGCATCACAGGTAATAAGGCAGCTATCGTACCTCCCTTTTTCAGAGGAGTAAAACGTATCTCAGTGAGGCATGCACCTAAAAATGTGAATGCACCAGTCGCAGTCCAGCGTGTCCACCAGGACACAGGCAGTCTCTAAACTGAGGCAGGGAGTGAGTGGAGTCCAGCAGTGAGGGCAAGGCTGGGAAAACATGCACGGCACACTCACTTTCCGACTGGTTCCAGCAGAGGAGATAGGGCTCTTGGTGCCCCTCAACCAGCTGCTGCAGCTCGGAGACACTGGAGGAAAGGTGATGGTGGTGGGGAGGAAGCCAGCAAAGCACCCACAGGGACCCACCTGGCCAAGCTGAGCCCTGCCCGTCCATTCCAACCCTTCATCACTTCCCGTCTAGCCCCAGTTGTTATCCATGCAGTCCACATCCATCGCTGCTTTCTGCTGCACCCAGTCACCCATTCTCTCCATTCACCACCCTTTCTGCATCCAACAAAGACATCTCTTCCATGGACTATGTCACACAACCGCTGCCCTCCAACACTCATGCTGACCTCAAGTCTGCTTAGTGGAAATGAAAAACCTGGAACAGAGGTGGGCCCTGCTCAGAGGCCAGTGAGTACCGGGGCAAAGGGCACATGTGGCAGAAGTGATGTGTGGGAGACGCTGGGCTACTCACCTGGAGACTACGCAGTGCAAAGGAACCCCTAGCGATAGAGACGGAGATGGCCAAATACCTGTGGGAAGCTGCAGTGAGGATGCACAGAAGTGCGGAGAGGCTGGGAGGCACAGCGCTCGAGACCAAGGGCGCGAGGCTCACCTGTCCACAGGGGCTCCATCTGATTGGCTGATGTGGTGTCAAGGACCTCCCCGCTTTGCAGAAAGTGCTTCAAGACCAACCGGAGCCTGCTCTCATTCAGGGTCTCCATGACCAGGGTCCGGACCGCACGGTAGTTGGCATAGATGTGGAGGGCGGTGAGGAGGAAGAAACACCCGAGGCTGAGGCTGGGGCAAGACAATGAGGCAGCCAGCGGGGTAGAGGTCCACTGGGCCTCTCCTCCCCGGCTCTGCTCCTGGCTTACCGAGGGCAGTTCGACATTAGAGGAAGCATGATGAGGCTGACCAGGAGCCCCGCAAGGTTCACCAGTGTCTCCTAGAAGGCAGCAAAGGTCAGGGGTTGGAGGGTTACCCTCAGCCCACCCAACTTCACGTCCTTGAATGCTTTTCACCACATTCCTCCCTGCTCGGGATCTCCTAGGGCTCTGCTGGGGGTGCCAAAGAAATTTTTAACATTTCTGCCAGATGAGCTGCCGTTTATAAAAGCCAGCTGCTCCCCGCCCAGGTGGATGACAGCCCCTGACAGTAGCCTGGGAATGTGGTTTCTGCTTTGCTCTCGTCAGCCAAGGGCCCCAGACCCAGGCACTGCCCTCTTACACAGCGGTAAAAGGCAGACCTCTCTCAGATCCCTTGGCGTGCAACAACTGGCAACCAAATTTGCAAAGGGTCAAGAACTACACAGGAAGCAAAGAACAGGACCCAAGCTCTTGTCCTGTGAATCAGTTATTAGAACCCTCTGGGGCCAGACTGAAGTCACCCTAGGGGAGAAGTCCTCGGGCTGTCAGTCCCCCGACTCATCACAAGGGAGGAAGGAGGAGTCTGTACTGGTGTCTGTGACTACTGGAGTCCCAGGGAGAGCTGATCCTGGCCCCACAAGGCCTGAGGCTAGAGAGCTCTTTGTACTCAGTCCTCCCAGCAATGGGGCAGGCTGTGGGAGTGAAGGCTCTGGATGAGTCAGCAAACTGGGAACCAGGAGCAGAGGGCTCCCCTCTTTCCCACGTGAGAAAACAGTCATTTCCGGCAGCCACACAGAATGGTTAAGAAAGCAAAATCACTAGAGAGCAGGGCCTGCTGGGGAGCTGATGCCTGGCCTGCCCTGTGATGCTACTGCTCACCAAGGAAGCCCTGGAACAAACAGCAGCAGGGCAGGGCTGGGACCAAGGAGACAGCAGGTGAAGGAGGACACACACAAAGCTGGGGCCCCCAGAGAAGGGCCTGGACTGTGTGTGTTCCTCTCATGCTCTTTTCCCCAGCGATGGGGATGAAGCCAGGGCCTCCACAGCAAACTGCATCCCCAGCCCTTACTTTTAGACAGGGTCTTGCCAAATTGTCAAGGTGCCCAGGCTGGGCCCAAATGTGTCATCCCCTGGCCTCAGCCCCCCAAGAGCAGCGATGACGGCGTGCACCACGCCTGGCTTGTTCCTCCGACTCCTAACAACCTACATAATTAGAGCTGAGGAAGAACTACCACAACCCCTCCCGAGAGAAGGGCTTGGCCAAGGGCACCCAGCGAGACTGGCCTGCTCTATGTTTTATTTCCTCATGTGTGAAATGGTCACAATGAATACTCATTGACAGTGACACAGAAATGACTGAATGAGTTCACAGAAGGGGACCCTTGGCACCCAATTAATGCTTCATAAACACTACTTTGTGCTAGTATATTATTGAGCAAAACAAAATAAAAGGCTGGAAGTAGGACTGGAGAGCAGAGATTTCTAAGTTGCTTCAGTATCAAAGAAAACCATTCACATTTCCGAGACCTCGCTGGACCTCACTTTCTAACTGCACTAGTATCTACCTCACAGGGTTGGTGTGAGAGTTAAGACGATGCAGTCACATAAGCACGCAGCTCGGGGATGTGGGAGAACCTAATACCCACAGGATGCGCTCTCCAGACTCGCTTGGCTGGGGAGGCTGGACCAGGAGGGCCTGCTCACCTTCAGGCCGCTGCCCCTGGAAACTGCATGCTGAGTACTCTGACGTGCCAAGAGCCTGTCTTTGTGGGACCTCACGTGACAGAACAGCCAGGTCGGGGTGGGCTGTGGCCTCTGGAGGGCAGGGTCAGGGCTCATTCAGCCGTGCAGAGCAGGTCAGCCTGGACTTGCTGCACCCCAGCCCTGAGACTCACGGCCTGAGCACCCGTCTCTCCCCGTGCGTCTTCTGCCTGGCCCTGCACAGGGCACTCAGGTGCTTCTTCCCACTCCCCAAACTGGCCCGGCTGGGCTCTCTCCTGCCTGCACTGCTACTCCCGTCCCGTCCTGGCTGCTCACCTGGCTGCCGTCCTTGGCCGACACATCAGCCATGTTGTTTCTCCGGGCCTGGTGCACGGTCAGCGCAGCCCGTGTGGCCCCTCCAGCCACGCTCACAATGCACTGGGTGGGGAGAGATATGGGTGGAGGTCAGAGCAGCCCTGTGCTGTGCTGCTAAACGCACGGCCATACCAAGTCTCCAGCGACCCCACGGCACAAGCCCGCGTGCTGCCCTCGGGGTCTGGTTCTCACCCTGCTCCTCTCTAGCGCCACATCCCTGTCTTCTTCAAGGAAAAAACTACCTCCCTGTGGACCTGGCACCAAGGAAACTCAATTTGCTCCCCAAGGGGGAGGTCCAAAGATCATTCTTTTTTTTTTTTTTGAGACAGGGTTTCACTATATAATCCAAGCTGGCCTTGACCACACTATGGAGCCCAGGCTGGCCCCGAACTCATGGTGAACCTCCTGCCTCAGCCTCCCAAGTGCTGGGATTACAGGATGCGCCACCATGCCCAGCTCAAAGATCTTTCTTAACCCAGAACTTCTCCAATCTCCGACTCCTTGGCTAAGCAACCATGCTCAGTCTGGCTTCCAAATTTGTTTATATTCTGTCTGTTTGTAATTGTGCTACTCTTCCTGCTTCAGTGAAGCTCTATTCCACCTTTCAGGCTAATTCCAAACCCACACGAGTGGGCCAGACCTCCTATGGTACCTGGATTTCTTCTGAAATCGCAGGATGGCAAAGCTCACTGGTGAGGTCACTGGTTACCCTCTTTCCTCTGGCTGTTGTGGCTGGGGAAGTTCACGGCCTGTTCCAACCCCTTCACCCTGACAGGTGAACAGATGGAAGGCCGAAAGGCAGAGTACAGGGGAGAATCTGAACACTGCTGAAATCACAATCTTTGGTCCCCAGCTATAGCGGTGGTCTGCTCCGGGGTTTCTTGCCCAGGGGATGAGGGTGGGGCGGGAGGAAGAGGCGCTCATCCTCATCACGTTTAGTGCCTCTCCCAGCAAAACTAAGTGTCCTTCACCATAAAGAACAGCTGCACCCAGGCACCAACAGTGCTTGTGGAGAAACACTGCTCTCGAGAGATTCTGAACAGAGCGGGCCTTTGGGATGGGTCTGGCGTAGAACCTCGAGGCTTTACTCCGTGCCAGGTACTTGACCCCCTGGTGAAGACAGGCTAGGTTCTTTCTTGAACCTCGCCAGGCCTCGGTTTCTGCACTGGGAAAAGCCACCCTGAAGCAGCTGGCAGCAGCCCCGACACAGAAGAGGGGCTTGCCTTCACTCTCCCCTCACTGGCAGATCTGTTTTCTCACCCCTGGGCTGTGGTCTTCACTGTCCCTTTCACCTAGACCATTCACTCTGTGCCTTCAGCTCATTTTTCAGGACCCAACCTCAGGGGAGGCTTTTCTGCATCTGCTGGCCATTTTTCATCTGGGATGCTTGGAGCTATTATTCCACCAATATTTGCATAATTAATTGGGGCTTCCTTTCAAAGATGGAAGGACCTGCAGTTTGTGCCACGGGTGCAGTAGAGGGTTAACAGGTTCCTTACAGTCTGGTAGCTCTTGAACCTGCCTGAGGTACTAGGGACCATTTGGCTAGAGGAAGATCAAAAGGCCTTTTGAGTCTCAGTAAAAACGTCCGAACTTTCTCACCCTTTTAAGGGCACCATGAGTACAGGGCCCAGAGCTCACACAGCACCCCAAGGCAGGTACCTTGGCTAAGTTGCTGATGCTGACGATCATGGTGAAGCTGACCGAGAGTACAGGAGCCACAAGCTCGAGGAGCATGGCTGCGTCATTGAGGATATCAGCAAAAAGTCTGGGGAAAGATCCAGAGGTTAGGGTCGCCAACCAAACAATGCTCAATACAAAGATCTCTCCCTGCTCTCAGCCCCAGGCCCTTCTTACCTCCACTGCTTTGCATTGCAGTCCAGTTTGCTCCTGTTGGGGATGAAAGGGTGTTGTAATTTAGACTGAAGGAGAAAACATATGCTCTAGGCAGTGTGGGCAATCCTAAGCCTGGTTAAGGTCTAAAGGGCTCAAGGAGCAATATCTCCAGGCAGACATCTGTCTTCATCTTCTTGCTGATTGAGGGTACTCAGCAAAAAGTCTGTACAGTACATATTCTGGTCTGGTAAGCACTAAATTTACTGTAATATGTACAGGTAACTGTACAGGTAACTAGCCCTGATTCCTTTGGATCACATGGAGAGGAAGAAAGGCCAACACAAAGGGGCTGGTTCTGACCTTCAGGGCCAGGGTATGTCCGTAATGTAACACTGTGTGACGGCTCATTGTCTCTGTGTCAGGCAGTGTCTCCCTGGCTTGCACACATACACTTGGAGACCATTTCTCTCAGATCCTAGTATCAGGAGATAATGCAGCCCCCAGCTCAGCTCAGGGTTTGCAGCATTAGCCTTAATTTGGAATCTCCTGGGGGAAAGGGCGCATTCCTGGGTGGGGTTCACCATAACGCATGCACAGGGGGCTCCTGAACAAAGGCCTGGGCCTAGGGTTCTGCCCAGTAAACCAGTTTGATACCATGGAAAGAGTATAGGCTTCAGGTTCAATTCCCATCTTAGCAATTCTAGGCTGTGTGGCTTGGGAAGTAACTTCCCTCTTCCAGATGCATTTCACATCATTAAAATGTGCAGATTCAATCTCCTCTACAAAGGTGTTATAAGGCTGATCCTGTTACTATCATTACCCTGCCAGAAGTCCTCTGATTGGGAAAAAAAACTCACCCTTTCCACCAGGCAAAGATGATTCGGCCCAGCATGCCAGTGGAATCTGAGGGAGAAGAAGGCACTGGTAAAGAACAAGGAAGACTCAGGAGCTGTGAAGGCTGGCATGCCCTGGCCCTGACTAGGTCACAGCGGCCTTGGAGCTTAGTCTGGTATAAGCTCTGGACAGACCTGTAAGTACGATGGAGTCAGCAGTGCTTGAACCTAGCAGTTCCTTACTATGTATCCAAGGAACGATGGACCCACTTGCCTCCTAACTGGTCCTGGAAATAATACCTCTTGAGGTGGCACTACGGCCCTATTTCTCACTTGCCTTAACCTCTTCCCTTCGAGTACACAATGTTCTACACAAAATGTTCACCCTTCCATTTAAGATTCTTATACTGAATTAATGTAGTGACTCTGAACACAGCAAGATTATTTTTACTGGTTGACACCGGGCTGACTGAATCAGACTTCATTTTTTCCCCCTTGACTGCACAATCATATCCCATCAGGTGGGTATCCTCCCTGGGCCCTTGACAAAACAGGGGCCTATTCTACCTTTCCGTGGGTCACTGGAAGCAGTATGCAGGGATCTTGTACAAAGCTGGAGGTTGGCAGTAGGATGCCCTCTCTACTACCTGAAAGACAATATTGTTCACTAGAATGAGAAACTTGATCTTTTCCTATTCTTTTTTGGCTTAAAATTAGTAGAGCTGTAAGATCTACTAGAGAATCAGCTGTTCACAAAGTGCATTTGGCTACACTCTAAAATCTTACGTGGCAAAAGAGTGTGGTAGTTAAGAGTGGGAGACAGAATAAGTTGGCTTTGGTCTAAATTCTGGACCTAAGTGACCTTAGACAAATGACTTAGCCTATCTTTGGCTTAGTTTTTCCATCTAAAAAATGAACTGGCTGCTGCAGAGATGATGATACATAGGCTGTCAAGATATTAGTTGCTAGCAGTATTACTATTGTTATTTATGACAACATAATTTCATTAGAGGTCTGTAATGGAAAATGATCACATCATAAAATTCCAAGGGATTTCTTATATGAAGCTCTGCATATAAATTTTCCCTGTTTGATGAAAACAAGCTTGTAAAATCCTTTCCAATTAACAAAGTGGGTATTTTCTCATTTCTTAACATGACCTTATTTTTTCTTAATGACGTATCTGAGCTCAGGGCATATTTAGCCAACATGCTCATGATAAAGACTGGGTGCTTAGAAATGACACAAAAAACATCAACCTACTGACCAACTGCATTCCAAAAACTTAGCCAACAGGACAGCAATGGAAAAGAACCAAGTTCAGCATATTGCAATATGAAAATGGGCTGTGGAGATAAATCAACTGGGCTGAAATCCAGGCCCTATCAATGCACGTGTAACCCTGGGCACATTCCCATTGCCTCAGTTTCCTCATTTACAAAATAGGGATAATGGCAAGAACTATCTTCTAGCTACTGCGAAGACCAAACCAGGGCACAGAAAGACTGACATATAATAAGCATTGTAAGCATGAACTATTATTGTTACTATTAAAAAAGGAGACAACCAGGATAAGCCACAGAGCACCACCATTTCTCTATTAATACTGTCAGAGAAAGTGTTTTTCCAAACAGGTGGCTCATGTCTGGATGGTTTGCTCAGTCTTAACTGTCAAGGTATAAGCAGAAGTCTTCTGATTCTACAAGATTCAGGGAGGCTCAGCAGAGGTGTGGCCAGGAAGATACAAGAGAAGGTGCTTTCCCTGAGGTCTGATTTAAACACCCTGGAGGAACAGAGGTAGAGGACAAAGGGCAGTGGAACAGCTGGAACCCAGTTTTCCTTTTTTCCTCTGCTTCATTCTCCAGGTGGCATGGTATCAAATCGTATCTTTTTTTTCTTAAGTGATTTTTCAAAAAGCTGCACACATTCAGCAGATGGTCAATATAATTATTACAGCACATCTAATATCCCAGAGGATTCAGAATACTTTTCATCCTTTCCAGAGCCTTCTCTCTCCTATTCAGGACCAATTCCTTTTATCCTAGAACTAACCAATTTCCACTATGCTGTGCAGCTGGTAGTTTTATTAAATAAATTGCATTTTCAATAGAGGTGAAGGGGAGGGGACATTTAATTTATGAATCTGGGATCCAAATAATTATTTATTTTTTTAGAACAGGGTCTCGCTATGTGGTTCAGGTTGGCCGTGAACTCATTATGTATGATTCTCCTGTCTGAGCCTCTCAAGTGCTGGGATTAGAGGCATGAGCCACCTCACCGGGCCATGGGATCCTGATGATAGAAGGGAAACAAGGCAGCTGCTGGGCTGGTGAGCGGGGTGAGGATATTCTTTCTAGCTGTGGGTGATAAGATGGCGTACAAAAACCTGCTGGGCACTGAGGAGACTTGGCTCCTGTATCCTGCCTAATCACGCAGCAGTGTGCACATACGCACACATCGCCGCCCCAAACGCTATGGCTCGGGTATCCTGACTAATCACGCAGCATTGCGCACATACGCACACATCGCGGCCCCAAACGCTATGGCTCCTA